AAGATGTGTTTGTGAAACATTGATGCCCCTGTTTGGAAGCCTATGGCGAAGTTGGAAGGTTCTCAAATATATGTCAAACTCAAAGGTCAAGGTCAAATGGTTCAAATTGTTGGTATCAGAAGAAAGTCTTGTCACAAGGAATACACATGTGAAATAAGTAATCCCTAGTACTTCCTGTTCAAAAGTTAATTGCCAAGGTTTAAGGTTTTTTTTTTAAAGTGGTTCAAACTCTAGGGTCAAGGTCAAACATATTTATACTTATTGACAGTTCACAATGAATACACATGTTAAGCATGAAAGCCCTAGCACCAACTGATCAAAATTTAGGCCAAGTTTAAAGTTTAGTATTTTTCTTGTAAAAATCCTAGGTCAAGCGATCAAAAGGGCAAAATTAATGGTACCCAAATAAAAGGTTTTGTCACAAGAAATAAACCTATGAAATGTGGAAGCCATGTGTATAGCCCATCCCACTTAAAACTTAAGGGCAAGGTTAAAGTTTCTGCAGACAAATAGACAGACATAATATAAACACAAGAAACAAAATATGTATAATTAATCAAGTGGGAAAAAATCTACTATTTAATTGAAATCTCAAAATAGATTGTTATTTCAGGGACAAGGAGTGGTTAGGGAGATTGGATCCCCCCCACCCCTGGAATAGGCTCTGTTATTTAAACAAGACTATATATATACTGAAGCAAATAAAAAATGACTTTGGACATCCTCCCCCTAACTTAGAAAATATTGACCCCACTATCATTGTTTTTATTTTGTTTATTTGTTTTCATTTTTTTTTCCTGCTTGTCAGAAAATTCTGGGCTGGATTGTTTTGACTGAGATGTGAACCCCCCTCCCCACTCCCGAAAAAAAATTCTGGATCTGCCAGTATCGGCAGTAACTGAATGTCACATCGACAACGGTAGATAACTTCACAATATTAAATTCGTCTAGTGTGGCATGCGATGATCTTTGACCCTTTTTTGAACTTTAACCTAATCATTTTGGTTTATTTTACCCCCACTATACTTAAACTTTTACTTACTGACTGTCATGGGTCATGTCAAATTCATGAAATATAATCCAATTATAACACAAAATGAATTAATCCAATGCACACCAGACTGCACAGCATGTGCTGTTGCTGTCCCATTCGGCAAACTTTCGTTGATTCCGTCACCTTATCAGATGAAGTGGGAATCGGCCGAGGTGTGCCGAATGGTGTTTAATCTAAAATATGATAATATGGGTGACGCAACGTGATGTGATGTAGAAATTTTCCAAAAGGTGTTTACATGTTAACATGTATTGTACAAGAACAAATTTTAAATTAATTCATAACAAACGATTTTTTAGCAAAACTTTTCCATCTAGCCTATTCCAAAAAAAGTATATGCTGTGTGTTTGTAGTGTCTAGGGTGGGGGGATTAGTAAATTCAAAAAGGTCCTATTATGAGCAAAACATTTATCAAAATCTAATTTACATTATTAATTAAATTCAAACTGGTAATGAATTAAGCATGTAAAATACACATAAGAGGTTCTGAGTCATAGGTCACAGGGTCACAGGGTCTGAGAATTTTATACTCAATCTTACGAATACATGTTCTGTGTAAATTATAGAATTATTTTGACTTTTTCCTTGGAAAGCCGCCCAATATGTAGGAGTGTGTATTTAGAGGCAATTACTGTCTCATGACAGCATCTAGTTGAACTTGTTTTTAATATTTAATATGATATTGTATATTTACATCAGAGCGGGTTTGTTACTATCAGAGAGCATGGGCTGACAGACGTCTTGTTTCAATTTTCATAATTTATATAAAACATGCCTTTGTAATGATATCAATACTACGCTAAAATTAAATCAATGTTTATCTTTACGTAGTGAAATAGTATCAATTGCTCTGCATTTAATTTAGAATTGAATTCTACTCACCATACCTCCTCTGAAGGATATTCAAGTTCCTCAATTCCAACTGAAACCTCACAATTACTTGAAAGTTTTCCTACAGAATCTGGTGTAACGACAAGCTATGACGGTAATTTCTTTAGCTGGCTATGATTGTATTTTCCATTAAATATTTGAATAAATGCTCTTAAGAATATTATCAAAACATATGTTATTTGAGTAATCTATGTACATGCATATGTACAATGAATACTCAATGATTTTAAAACATTATCAACAAAACAATAGTTCCCAAAATGATTTTAAGAGAATATAATGCGTACTATGCACTTACAGATGCCTCACAAGGAACAAACAACGGTAAGAATTGCATAAAGAAAAAGAATCAAGTGAAGATAGAAAACACGTCATCATCCTTGATTTTCAGCATCGTAGGGCTTTTGATTGTTGCAGGCTTATTTCTTATTATTTATATATGCATTATCCTATTCAGAGCTTCTGCACAGAGTTTTAGTAATATCTAAAGTTATTTTTAAAGGCTGACACATTAACTTTCTTTTTAAGATTTTTTTATCCCTTTTATTATTTTCTTCTTCTTATTGGGCGTTGCTTTTTAATTTTAAAATCATGTTAAAATGCTACGTAGAACGTATCTGCCCTACGTTAAAAGCAACATAAAGAATTCTTGCATAACTATCCATTGTACTGACATGTATGAATTATGTAACTGAATATACAATGTGTAGTAAGCTGAAAACAATATTTCCTTCTACAGGAATTGTCGACATTGAATCATAAAGTTAGCTTCATGAATGCATGTCTTTGATAATTCTTTTTACTTTTTCTCTCATTTAAAAAGCTAAAATAAATATTTTTCTATGAGTATATATATTCATAAACTGATTTCTCATTACGTCTCAAAGGAGCATGAAATGTCATGGACACCCATATTGTCAGGCCCCCTTTTCAGATACTAATTTAAAAATAATGAAAAAAATCTTCACAAGGATTTGTTGTTAAATACATAGTATGACCAGGTTATGTTGCCATTAAAAATTGCAATTAAAAAACCATGCAAAAGATTATGTTGACTTGGATGAGACGGGTTTAAAAAATAATGAAAATAATATTGACAAGGATTTGTTGTTAAATACATAGTATGACCAGGTTATGTTGCCATTAAAAATTGCAATTAAAAACCATGCAAAAGATTATGTTGACTTGGATGAGACGGGTTTAAGATAAATTATAAAACTTTATGAATTAAACTAACTATAAAGATGAGTTAAAAGTGTAGTCCTTTTAAAAATGATTTAATTAAAATTGCAAATAAATAAAAAATATTACCCATGATTTACTTAGTCAATTTTTCGATCGATTTTTTTTTTTTTTTTTTTTTTTTTTTTTTTTTTTTGTATTTCATACCATCTTCACTTAGGTTATCTATACTTTTTTTTCATTTTTTATCGGCTGTAGTAGAAATTATGTTTAAAGATAGCCCTATTAAACAGGGCTAAGAAAATAGTACGCAATTCACAAAACCGATCACAATAATTCGAAACAGCTTCATGGTTAATTTCAATAGACAAAACTTGTATTTGTTTATGACCAAACGCCGAAGTATCTGGAAATGCTGTCGACTGGTCTCTGGTGGTTTACCAGCAACGCTACAAAACTTGAAATACCAGAAGATACTAAACGATACAATTCTACGCCAAGAAAAATTGTCAACAAATATTTTTGTTAACAAAATCAACTTTTTTTTTGGAATTATACGTAAACTTTTAATTGTCAAAAAATTTTTAGAAAAAATTAGAAGACTGAATTTATACACATGTAATTGTACTTGTACGGATAACGTTAAATAAATAAATTTAATTAAATACTTCTTTATATTTCTCTTGTTGAAAAATAATTTAGCTTTTATGTTTTATTTATATTAAGATCCCATCTATAATAAAAATTAAAGCACACTGCAGGAAAGTTGAGGGTTGAATAATTTTTTTTATCTTAACGTGTTCTAAGACATAAAATTCCCGACCTAGTTTATTAGTCTTCTCATTTGGTATTGCTTTTGTCATAAGACATGCAAAATAATAGTATACAGTTCAGGCACTAAAGGCATAAAGTTTCCTCTGGAAAAAAATAGTGAAAAATTTATCTATGACAACGTGTGTAAATTTTTCCTGTTTCTCTGATTCATATGATTTAACTTTAAAAAGGTTGTCCAATAAGCGAGGACATTGTTTAATGCCAATTGGAATGAAACTAAAGCAAAAGATGCAGTTAACTGAGAACAAACCTAGATACATACAAAACAGTCATAGGTATCTTTTAACCGGTTCTATTTCCTCTATTTCTGTAACGTGACAACTAATTCATGAAATATACTGAGATAACGAGCAATATTCAATATCAAAGTCAATAAAACAATACACAATAGGGTCAGAGCAATCATGGACCTCCAAAATATCAGAGGCTGGATTAGATGCCATGGAGGAGTGAGCATCCCCTGCCAACCGGTCACACCCGCCGTCGGCTCCTTGTCATGATAGGGAAAATAACGGAGAAATCCGTCATCAGCTCACTGTATAAATATTGGAATAGCAATCAGTATGAAAAACGTCAGTCAGCATTTGATTCAATGATAAATTATATCTGCTGACGAGGTCAATGTATCGACCGTATAACTTTCGAAATGATGACTTTAAACGAAAACGCTATTATTTCTCTTGTCTCGTAAACTTGTTTATCAATAATTTGATATACCGGTATTCATTTTTTATCATTTAAGGTTTAATTTTTATTCATTCTGAAGAGAAAAGTACAGAAAAATTGATCAAAGACTCTTCAGAATTCAAAAATAAACAAAATATGATGACCAATAGAGAAACTGATTGTCTTCAAATCACAAATATCATTATTTAAAGAATTAAAAAAAAACGTTGTTTCATTTTAGTTGCAAACATTGATATATCATCATTAAAAATTTGTTTATAGAGATTGAATATTTGATTGTCACGGAAACATGTAATTACAAACATAAACAATTTTTAGATCGTTTGGAAATCATAAATCAAACAAGGAAATGCTATAATATTGTAAAATGTCTAAAATGGATCTTACTCTATGTACCAGGTTGATGTATATTGGATACTTTTTATTGCACTATTTTCTAGTTTCTACATCACAGATATGCGGAGGGTAAGGAGGAATTCAAATCTGTATATATTGCAACAATTATATATCATATAAAACAATAGAAACTGTAAAAGAATTGGGGGAAATTAAGTCATTGTTGAATGTCAATGATTGAAAGTTAGTTTGTTGCTTTTGTTTTTATTTATCTTTTTAGGAAATAAATTCTTAATTATAAACAATATGTCGTAAAACACGACATTTCTGGGCTAATACATGTACATGTGAATATTTTGCTTACCAGGATAGGTGGGAAAACATGTTGCAGTGGATATGTGTGGAACAAAGCAGTAAATGAATGCATACGTCTGTATCTTTACAATAATTCAATATATCCATTAATAAACTGTCAAATACAGATTCATTAGCTTATTCCATGTCTTCGAATCCCTTTACAGCTTGTGCGAAAGGTTATTTTGGTCACGATTGCAAATTCTCTTGCCCTCCACCAACATTCGGTGTCAACTGCGAGTCCATGTGTGATTGTTCTGTTGAAAAATGCCACCATGTTTACGGTTGCAACGGTAAGTACCTTTCCAATAAGTTGTCGGTACCTTAGCTATGGATACGGATGTCAGTTATAATGGAACTGTACCAAAGATCATTGTAATCCAACAAAAGGATGCATTGATAAAATTTAAAGATTGAACAATGTTGTGTTGTCTGCGCATAAATTGTTGATATTCGTTTCTCTTTTATACAGGTTATTCGATTACAATACAAGGAAATCCTACAAGGAAATAAAAGCACATATTTTTTAGAACATGATGAAAGTCGAAACGCACATATATTTTTAATAAATGTTCCAAGGTTATGAAGCATACATGTACATTACCTGCTTGAATTTTTAGGGAAGATTTATACTTTGTAATATAGACGATGTATGTCTTTGTTGCTACTTATACACCATACTTACATTTTTATAAGATCGATATTAATTTTTCTTGATATTTTTAATAGCTAAACATACCACACCATACACCTTAGAATCAACTTCTACTCTGCTGACATCCTCAGAAGTATTTTCATCTAGAATTACACATTCAGAAACTTCGACTGTAACAGAGCCTAGTCTGGAGACAACCCAGGAAGGTGTGTTTCTATAAAGCATTTACATGTTATTATATCGCTTTTAATAAAATAAATCCAAACATTTAAGTAAATGCATAAATATATTGTTCACAAATGATCATAATCACAAAAATTAAACAACAAATTGTAAATACTGTCGACGAAATATTATATATTTTCAATAGTAGAGAAAAAAATTCTTTGAAGTTGCTCTTATAGATATTTTACATGGAGCGGGTGATTTTTGTTTGAAGAAAACTGGACCGCTGAAGATAGAAAATTCGTCACGCACTTTAATGTTTACTATAGTCGGACTTTTAGTTATAGCAGCCCTATTCTTGATAATGTACATATGCATTATCTTATTCAGAGTACCTTTGCGGAGTTCTAATCGTACTTACATCTAAAAATATAAGAAAACCTGAGTTTGTCACATCAACATTATCTAAATTGTAATTACAAATGATGATTAAAACCTGCAAACAATCCAAAATATTTCATGCTTTGTGTACGTACAGAAAGAACGAATCTGTTAAATATGTTTCCAATCTCACAAAAACTGATGTCTAAAATGCCCGATAATGACGTCACAGTGTATTACACTGTAATGGTTAGGAGAAATACAGTAAAAAGAAAGTGAAGTAAAGTAAGTAGCTGAACATATATAATTTTGAATTCATATCACTCTTCAGGCAGAATCTGGTTAAATTTTCCACTTGGCTCCAATTCTTAATCGTAAAAATTGATATAACCTGATGTAGTTAATTTAAAAAAAAGGATAATATGTCATTAAGCCCTGTCTCTTCTGTATAATTTTTTCTATGAAATAAACATTTATTTCTTTACCTGATTTTATTGCAAGAAAAAACTCACAAAGTCTCTCTTAGAAAAAAAATATATAAGAACCTATAAAAAGAAACAAAACCGCGACATTCAAGTCCTCTCAATTTATTGTAACCGAGGAGGAAAATTTATTTGGAAGTCACATTATAAAATATTTCAAATATTGAATGTTTTGTTCACTTTAACAAACGTCCTGTTACGGTTTCAAGTAAGATATCAGGATGAAAATTAGAAATTTCTTAAAGCTATTCAATATTTGATCAGAAAAATGAAATGAATGTTTTGAAATTTTGAAATATTTTCATAAAAAAGTAGATTTTATAATTCATTGTATCGCATATGGTATTTATTTTTCACTTTTACACTTATCAATCAAATTACATTTACAATGTTAAATAATACTCCACCTTTTGGTAAAATAAGGTCAGTAATTTAGTAAGTTTTTACACACAGTGTACAACAATTCACGCCCTTTTTACAGCCCTTTTTAACAGCAAATCCAGCACAATTGCAATATTCAGATAATAGTTACGATTTAATTTTACACGCTTTTACATGCATTCTAATATCAATGTTTTAATTTCTACATCATTTTTAGATAAATTTGTGTAAGTTAGTGAATAATGTATATTTCATGCATATGTTGTTTTTGATGAGAATATAGTTAAAAACTAATTCATTTTTTAACATTTGATCATAGTTCTTCTGAACATTAAGCAGTACATGTATTTTGCTGTGTCTTGAGAGAATCCTGTAAAATATTGTGCAACGATTAGAAAAATCTCAAAGGTATACAAGAAATCAGATGTTTTAACAACAGAAGTGGTATATATTACTAAAAACTTCAATGGTATGCGTAGCTAAGACTACTAAAATTCCTCGAATACTTTACATGAACCCAAATTTAGTTTTTATTGCATGGCCTATATAGTTGTATTTTCTGTACACAGGTCTGATTCAAAAAATGAATAAATACTACCTTTAATGTGATACATTGTAAGAAGTTTTATAACCTAGATTTAAAAGGTTTCAGTTAAACGAATTTCAAAAATTTTTGTTTGCAATTTTTTATTCCTCTGCGCTGATTCGTTGTCCTTAAGGAAGGCCTATGGTCTCATGGAATCTGTCATTTTAATTGTTGTATCTTACATTTAATAAGCTTTTAATATTATCAGTAAGCAGGTTTCATGTTCGTATTTTCAATCATTGTTCTTTTAAATTCTGTTTTATTTCATGCCGCTCACAATGTAAGAATCAGACATTGTTTTTCTTTCTTTCGTATTTACGAAGATATGAACTTACACATGCAAATTAAAAGAAAGCAATTGAACCTCTACAGGAAAGGTTTGGACAAGAACATAAGATAGTTAAGACTTACATGCAAGCTCTTTTTCAAATACCCATTCCTAAGAATAATTTTAAGTTTGCATCACTTTCATCATTAAGTACGAGGGTTGTTTGAAAAGTTCGTGGACAACTGTAGCTGGCATGTCTTTTTTATTTGACGTCATATGTTATCCAAATTTGGTAGAAATATTTTTACAATAAATACAAATTTTTTGCATTAAATTTTTCCAAAATATTAAGATTTATTCAAAACTTATTCAGATTTTAAAAATGCAAAAATTGGATCGCAGAGCAGGTCAAAATTTAGTAAGTTACAGACAATACACTACATAATGTCAGCAGTCATATTCTATGTAAAATGGAGCAAAAACGAAAAACAACCTAAATATTCAAATTAAGAATTGTTACATCGATTCATATACCAAATTATGACTTTATATTTTGCTTTGATGAAAAGAAATCAACTTGAGAGGATAGGTAGTCCTTATTGAAAACGACAAAAACGATGACGTTTCAGAACGTCACTGAGCAGCAGATAGCGATGCAATTTTGTGTTTTACTCAGGAAAACACCCGAATAAACTCTAAAAAGTTTCGAGGAATCACAAAAATATGTCAAGCGAGATATGCATGTGTATTCAAATAGTACAGGCAGTATTTGAGTGACAGAGACTCTGTATCGGGTGAGGACAATCTGTGAAGCTACGGTTTAACTGTAAAAATCTAAACAAAAACTTTTAAAAGTTAGAACGTCAAAAAAGACATAGGCGCTTCAGAGTTGCGTATCCTGTGAAAGCAGAGTTACAAGTAAGTAATAAAAGAAATTTAGACCTTGATAAAGGAAATTATACAACAAAAGAATTAGAAAAAGGGTTGAATGCGTGGGTATTGGATTTTACAGTGTGAAATGTATAGGGATAGTATTTTTATTTTTAAATTCTTGACGCTATGTTTTGACGTTACATTTCCGTTTAGTGTGCTTTGCAGGTACGAAACATATTGATTTTAAAATGAAATAAATTGATTTCTGTTAAATCAAATGGAAGGAAACTTCACACATCAACAAAACAAATATTTTTACATGTCATATTGTTCTCATTTTAATCTTCTAGTGAGTAATATAACGAAGATTGACATCGTTTACGAACTTTTCGAACAACCCTCGTACTTGTGAAAACATATGTCTGGGGACTAGGATCCTTTAATCAAGCTCAGGATACATAGAGTTTACTTCTTGAGCCTGTTATTCATAACAAGAGACCCAATACATTGCATAAGAATTAAGCATGTGACATTGCTCTGATTGATTGCTAGGTGACTTTTAAAAGAAATAGTCTCTATAAGGAACTTCATTTTTAAGAATCTGGAACACAAATTGATGCCAAAGAAGAAGTGCTACTGCTATTTTTCTACACAAGCTCAAAATTTTGTGATGAACAACTACAAGGAACTACAGTCTTTGGAAACATCAAGATAGCTGAGCAGTCGATCTGCAAGGAGACGCACTAGTCGTATGGCTGTATAAGATACCAAAAACACAATGACCATATGAAAATTGACAAACAAAACAATGTGTGCTAAAATTTATTAGACAGCAAGTACAGCGATAGTCAAGAAAAAAACATTTTTATTTATTTTAATGCCACACTGCATAAATATTTATCGCAATATTTACATTTGCTGTGTTTTTCTACTAAGCTAACTGTGAAATTGAATTGAATACCATTTTCGTGTATTCTCAGGAAATAGAAATATACACGGAAAAACGTACGTTAAAGTGATGTCACAATGAAATTGCAGCGACGTTAGTAAAAATGCAATATAGCGCAGCAAGAAATTCAAATATTGAGTTAAAGTTGCTTCCAAACATGTAAAATGTAAATCTAGGGAATGTTTTTAAGTTTAGTGTGAATTATTGGTGTGATTGATTGATTGATTGTATGTTGTTTAACGTCCCTCTCGAGAATTTTTCACTCATATCGAGACGCCACCACTTGCCGGTGGAGGGCTACAAATTTTTTCCTATGCTCGGCACTCAGGGCCTTTGATGCCAGCACCTACTGCGACACAGGGCCCCGGTTTATACGGTCTCATCCGAAGGACCGGTCTCCACGTCCCACAGTGGGATTCGAACCCGCGACGTAAGGATTGACTCCTTACTTCACGACTCTAAAGCAGACGCTCTAACCACAATTATTGGTATGTGAATCACACAGACTTGCAAGTAGGCATATTTTTCATGAAGCGCTAGCTACCTCACACAAACCTTAAAAACATTCCTAAATATCCAGCACGTCTACGATTTTGGAAAACACTACTTGATGATTGAACTTAAAGGTTTTAATAATTAGGTTTTTTTAATAAGGAAAAAAATAAGATTCACTAGCTCCTTAGAAAGTCAAAAAGAATAGAAATATTTTTTTCTCAATAGGTTGTAGTTTAGAGGCAAAGTAAACCGTTTATTGAAATCAAACAGTGATGTAGAAAACAATATATCTTAAAGCATCTACGCGTGTACAAGATCAGACTCATCTGTGAAAGGGATTTTATTTTGAAAGCTCAATAAAAGACGAAAAGACAAACAGATGATCGCACGACAGGCATATACTTTCGGTATCTTGTCTTATAGATCTAAAATGAATATTTTTGACGTCTCCTTATTTCTTAGATTCAAGTCTTCTGATAGAAGTCTTCTGTCTAAATGCAAATGATTATAGAATGGATGTTGGCCCGCTTTCTGCAGTGGTGAGACCGTTGGTTTATGGATCTCGGAGTAAGAAGTTAGTGTTTATTTGACGAGTTTCAGTTGAAAACTGTAATCCGAGGTCAGGCGTCTCAGTACTGTAAAAGTGGTTATTTACGCGTGGGGGAAATTTACACTACTTACGCGGTAAGCCAAGAACCGCGTAAAAGACCCCCGCGCGTACGGTCACAAAATTTCAAACTTCCAGAATAAATCTAGATTATTATTTATACTGTTAGACCGATTGAACCAGTCGTGCATTAATTGTGGTATTGAACACACGTGAGTAGATAAATATATCACAAACAGAGAAGAAAACTAACTTTTCAGTTTTTTAATTGTGCGATGAAAAATGCATCTTCATTTAAAATATTTCAAAGCAGCGTCACGCAATTAAAAGCTTCAAAACATTGATACTCATTTTCATTTCTTTTGTATATTCGTGTTTGTCTCTCTGAATTTCAAATGATTAGTTCAAAATGTTACATAAACTGACAGTCACTACAAACGTACCTAATTGTCAACACTCGACACGCAGATACAGGTAAGTAGATCCCCCTTTGAAGTTTGAGCTTCCGTAAATAATTACAATAAAACGGACACCAGTTGTTCACACTTCACCGCATTTGACTGTGCACATCGACGTTATATTTACTTAACGTTATAAAATCTTATTAATATGTTTAGTTTGGTTGCAATTATTTTAATTTTTTTATTATCATTTTCAATGGGGAAAAAACTTGTTCACATGTTTGACTGTGCACATCGACGTTATATTTACTTAACATTATAAAATCTTATTAATATGTTTAGTTTGGTTGCAATTATTTTAATTTTTTTATTATCATTTTCAATGGGGAAAAAACTCGATGTTAGTAACGAGGCCGCGTAAATTTCTTTCGGTAACTAGTGCGACCGCGTATATTACAACCCTGCGTAATGTTTGCTGGTCACAATCGCGTACTTAACAACCAGTGTAAATAACCACTTTTACAGTAGATAATGGCACTGAGAGAATCTCTTAATTCTTAGAGATTCTTAGTGCTGATTTCAGGTCTAAATTTGCAGACACCGACCGCCATCTGTTCGCGTTTCCATATTAGCTAACATTAATTCTACAAGTGATATATAACCAAAACAAAATACAAAATAGTAATAATTATAATAAACAAAGGATACATTATAGTTAATACATTTAATATTTTAAAGTGATAAAAAAAACTTCTGAATACATTACAGTCCTTCTCAGAAAAATAAATTCATTCTCAGTTTAACATAAATAGGGTAAAAAAAATCAAAAGCAAAGACACAAAGTAAGACAAAATCAATGAAAAACAAAACCGCTGTTATATGTTTGGTTTGTACAAAACACTAAGACCTTTTTGTCGTACACCTAGGATCCTGTTTATTGTTTTCTTGTCGAATCATCAACACGCATATAAAAAGAAAATAAATCTATAATGGTGCTCTTTTAACCATCATTCGAACAGAACTAACAACAATTGCACTGAGAAATAGCGATTTCCAAGGAAACGTCCAGTTTAAACTTCCGTAGGGACCAGTGAGGAGGGCTATATGACGTGCGTTGTACCACCACCCTCCATCTCCTCCCGTGTCTTTAACACAGGATAGCAATGATTTGTCCTGATCCTTGTCCTTGGTTGAAAACTTCATTTCATTCAGATTCAAGCCAGGTAAAATGGGTGTCATTGCGTCACCTTAAACATATATGAATTATCATAAATTAAATACAAGTATATTAAAACACTCAAAAATAAAGGTTTGTACTTGTTTTTCTTAGAAAAAAAGTCGCCGTACAAAACTTTCAAAAAATGCGGAGGGTAAGAAGGAATATGAATTTCTACACATTGTATAAATAATTTCATATATTGGATGAATGATAATGATAACGCGTTGGAAAACATTTTGTTTGACTGTTTTTAAAAAATGATTGAGTGCAAGACTTTTTTTTTTTTGTTAATAAGTAAATTTATTTAAAGAAGATATTTTTCAATCAATTTAATATTTCCTTAAATAAAATCGTAATAACAACCAACCTAATTATGATAAAACATGACATATTTCTGCCACTACATATGAATTATCTGCTTATCAGGTTAGATGGGATAACATGTTGCACTGGATATGATTGGGACAAAGCATTGAATGAATGCTTACGTTTCAATCTTTATAATAGTTCAATATTCCAATCTCATGAATAAACTGTCGGATTCTGGGTAATTAGCTTATTCCATGACTTTGTTTTCAATGACAGCTTGTTCGAGGGTCAAGGTTGCAGATTCGCCTGTCCTCCACCGACATTCGGTGACAGGTGCCGGTCAGTGTGTAATTGTCCGTTTGAAAAATGTTATCATGTCTACGACTTTATTGGTATTTATCTATGTACTTAGAATACGATTTCAATAGCGTGATTGCCATTTAATAATTTAAATTTTAAAAAATCTGAAAAAAATAATTAAAAAATGACAAATATATGTAAATAGATGGTTGTGAATCTGGGAAGTTGGGTTATAATTGTGAGAATACCTGTCGATACCCTAGCTATGGTGACGGATGCCAGTTACATTAAAACTGTACCAAAGAACACTGTGACCCCTCTAAAGGATGTATAGGTTAAACTAAAAGAAAAAAACTGAAAGAATGTTGAATCGCCTACGCATCAATATTTGTTTCCCTTTCATGCTCAATTATTCAATTTTAAATATATGTGAAAGAGTAAGGAAATAAAAGTATTTTTTTTTTTAGCCAAACTTAAGCTTGAAAGAGGTAACTTATATATGTTTTTCATGGTCAATTTTATTAGGAAAAGCTAAATGGTAAAAATCAGCCTATGTGATATTGCTATTTTTTGTCATTTTGTGTTTCCTCACAAAATTCACATGGCTTGGTATATTTTTCTTAAGTTTATATTACACTTTTAGCACCAAGGTTACATATTCTGAATTTTGTTTTCACCTGTTAACCTTTACTGAATGTGATATGTCTATATTTGTTTTTTTATTGAAATATTACTAATATTTTCCAAGTCTATTTCAAATTCCAGTTTTTTTGGAGAAAAAATTTTAAGAATCATCCACTTTTCTAATCTTATGACATGAAATTAAATATTTTTTTAAAGAAAAAAAATTGTTTGTATCATCTTTCCTTTAGGCATGAATTTGTCTTTTAATTTTGAGGAATAATTTTTACTTAGGTAAAGTATGTTTTCGTTTCGCTACTTGTACTTACATTTTCATCAAGTCAAAATTAATTTTCTTCTATTCTTTAAAAGCTGAAAATTCCACACGATATTCCCCAGTATCACCCTCTTCTCTTCTAACATCCTCAGAAGTATTTTTAGCTCAAACTGCACGAGCAGAAGCGTCGATTGTATCAGAGTTTGGTCTTGAAGCAATTTCTAAATCATTTTCATAATACAATATCGTTTTCAATATAAAAAACCGAACAATAAATTAAATGGATAAATATATCGCTCACAAATAATAATGATCATAAAAATCAAACAACAAATTGTTAATATTATAGACAAAGTAATATTTCCAATAGTAGAGAAAAATATTGGTCTCAGAGACATTTCGCAAGGAACCAATGATTTTTATTTGAAGAAAACTGGACCGCTGAAGATAGAAGGTTCGTCACGAACTTTAATTTTTAATATAGTCGGACTTTTGGTCATAACAGCCCTCTTCTTGGTAATGTACATATGCATTATCTTATTCAGAGTACCTGTGTTTAGTTTCAATCGAAGTTACAGCTAAAAAATCACAAAATCTCATCAACATTATCTAAATTGTTATTACACATGAGGATTAAAAGCTACAAACTATCCAAATTATTTCATGCTTTGTGAACAGAGAGACTACATCTGTCAAAAATGTTTCCAATCTCACAAAGCCGATAATGACGTCACACACTATAATGGGTTAGGGACAATAAAAGAAAGTATAATGAGTATTCGAACATATTTGGAATTTAGGCAGATGTTGAATAAAAAAATTCCACTATGCTTCGATTATAAATCGTCAAAATATGCTTCAATCTGATACTTATATTTCTAAAACACTATGTCATTAAATCCTGACCCTTCTATATAACTTTTTTATAAAATAAACACGTTAGTCTGTCCTTGATTTTGTTGCATTTAAAATAAGAAAGCCTATTTTAGAAAAAAAATATTCAAAAACCCATTAGCAGCGGTTTTCAAGTACTCTTAATTCATTGTTACCGACAAGGAAATATTTGAAACTCAAAATCTAAATATTTAGAATATTGAATGTTTTGTTTACTTGAATAAACTTCCTGTTATGATTTCAATTAAAAAATTAGGATTAAAATTAGACATGTTTTAAAGCTTTTAAATTGATCAGGAAAAACAGTCATATTAAAATCAATGTTGTGGAAAATATTTAAATATTTACACTAGAATAACTTAATAGATTCTACAGATCATCAGTGTATCATTTGGTTATTGTTTTTTAATGGATGATGTTTTTTATAGATTATATTATTTATCAGTATATAATTGTTTCTGTTGTGTTCGTATATGTACGAGGGGTTATCAAAACTTCGTAGACTGAGGTGATAAAATTGATACTACGGAGTATCGTACTTTTATAAGGAACATAAAACAACAAAAAATAAAGAAATGTTGAAATTTTTAGCTTGATACGTTCATTATTGACAAAATTATGAACAAATAAAAACGACTTTATATGATCAACCGGCACTGTGGTCGTTTAATTTTATGAAGTCCCAAAACTTCACATTTTTCAAATCTGATTCTTTTACCTCATTCACTTATCTTGATGAAGTTTCCTGGAGGACTTAAACCTTTCTTGTTTTTATGCCTTTACAAGTCATGAAAGGCTGCTTTCAATGCATATAACATTGCATATACATTTGGAGAAATTCTTGCTTAATTGTGCCAGCATAATTTGCTTTTTGAGTTCAATATCTACCACAAATAATCAACGTCATTTCTTGACGTGATTGACTTTTTACACCTTGAGTACAAATTGAAATTAACTGTTCATTTCTTTTCTCTCAGAATCTATTTTGGCATTACAAAACAAGTCCTCTGGATGCATTTTATTTCTCTGTAGACAGTTTAAACATTTCCTAGGTGTATAACAGTTTTTTTTTTCATGCGCAAAACTTTATAGAATGTTGGGAAAAAAAACCACTTCCCCCTTTTGACGTCATTTTCAAGTCCTCAATTGTTTGGACACTCCATATAAAATGTACGATAAACTTTTATAGAACTTACCGATTGATGTAAACATTACGAACTATATTATACGAACTAATACCGTCTCATCACAAACCTGAATTAATAGGATTTTTAATTGATGCCAAATGTTCATAACAAAAGAGTTTTTTTCAGTAATACTGAGGGCGAAAAAAAACGTCATTTTCGAGGTTGCACCGCCTAGACAAACCATTGCTTACAAAAGCACTATTAATTTATTAAGATAAAATTCATGGTTTGTGGTGTTTTTCTTTAGACAGAAAAGATGATGCTAACTAAATATCTCAAAATTCATTGATATACCTAAAGTGGTTTAAATTCTATTGCGCCACGAACTTTTTGATAATTCCTTGTATATAACCATGCAAAGACTGCTTCTCCTTGCAAAATGCACAGCTACATGTACCTTGATGTTTCCAAAGACTGTAGTTTATTGATGATTGAACTGGAAAAAAACGCCAAACTCTTGGAGAAGTTGAAAAAATAGAACATGTACAAGTATATTAGAGTCCACTTATGCACCAGATCAGACCCGTCTGTGAGAGGAATTCCATTTTGAAAGCTCAATAGCAAACGGAAAGACAAACAGATGATCGGACGACAGGTATTCACTCTCGTAATCTTGCCTAAAAGATCTAAAATAAATAGTCGTTGATGTCTAATAGAAAATATTTTCTTTCCAATAGCAAATAATAGACAAAAAAGATGTTGGCCCGCTTGATACAGTGGTTAGAGCGTTTGTTCTAGGATTGCTGAGCAGAAAGTTTGTATTTACGTGAAAAGTTTCGGATGAGACCCGTAAACCGAAATCAGTCGTCTCAATAGATAATGGCACGGAGATCCCTTACCGCTATAAAAAGATCCTTAGTTTCAAGTAAAGGTCTAAATTAGCAGACACCTCCCGACAACTATCGGCGTCTCAATTTTAGAAAACAATACTCGAAGGGACATTTAACAAACAAATAAAACAATAATAATAGTATACAAAGGATGCATTGAAGGTCATACATTTATTTTAATACAACATTTTGAAGTGGAAAAAAACTTCTGCTTTTCTTCCAGTCCTTGTGAGAAATATATATTCCATTTCAATTTAACAAATATAGGGAAAGAAAACCAAAGCAAAGATACAAAGTAATATAAAATCAATGAAAATAGTATTAATATGGTTTGCACAATGCATTCACGCCTTTTTGTCGTACACGTAGGATCTTGTTCATTTCTTTCTTGCTAAATTATCGGCATACGTAGTAAAAACGGAAACACATTTATTTCTATGGTGCTCTTTTAACCATCATTCGAACAGAATGAACATCAATTCCACTGAGGAATAGTGGTTTCCAAGGATTCACCCAGGTGACACTTCCGTAGGGACCCGTTAGGAGGGCTATATGGCATGCATTGTACCACCACCCCCCTCCTCCTCCCGTGTCTTCAGAACAGGATAGAAATGATTTGTCCTGATCCTTGTCCTTGGTTGAAAACTTCATTCCATTCAGATTCAAGCCAGGCATAAAAAATGTCATTGCGTCACCTTAAACATAGATCAATTATCATCCTATTAAAATGCTCAAAATGAAGGTTTGTATTTTTTAATATAAGAAAAAAGTCGTCGTACTTGAAATTCAAAATAAAGATTTAAAGTTGATTTAGTTGAGTTAAAAAATTACAATAAAAGATTAAAAACATGAAATGCTGAAACAAAAGAATATGGATTTTCAATCAGAAAAAGGGGTGGAAATGAAAATGTGAATATAATTAGGGATTAAAATATATACCTCTTCTTAATGTAAAATCATTAATATACAAACAATTTGACAACAAATAAAGGCATATCTTTTTTAGGAACTTAACTGATACTTTACCAAGAGAACCAGAGGCGCCTCCAATATCTAGAGCATAACCACGCTTTTCGTCAGAAATTGAAAATACGTCATATTTTTCAAAATATTTTAAACCAAGGATATGTGTTGCAGAAATATACAGCAAGGAGTTTCTCTTTCTTGTTAGGTGATGGATGATCTCATTTCCTAAAAGAAATCACTGGAAATGCATATATCAAAACATCGGAAATACCATTTTAAAAGGAAATATACAATAGATTCTATAACAATAGATTCTATTAAATAACATTTTATATGAGCTGGTTTATGAACCTTAAAAGGATATTTTCTTACCAATCCAGTATTCGGAGGTTATATTCCCAAAGCCAATTTTATACTCTATCCAGTTTTTTGCAAAACTTATGGAGCCATCCTCCCGATTCATAAGTGTCTAGAAAAATAGAAATAAGGACGAAGATACTTTTCAATATTTTGTTCCGTTTTTATTCTAGTTTAAGTAGACAAATATTAAAGAATTATTACCACCTGAAAGATACTCTATCTCTTTACAGTGTTCACCTCTTAAGGTCAAGATCTAGTAAATAACTTTAGACTAACTTTTGGTACTAGATCCATTATGACGTCATAATCAATTTAAACTTTCTTTTTCCCGTACTTTACGGCTTTAGCAGAATTATGTAGAAAATACGGTATTTTCATGACATTTAATTTGAAATCATATGAAAAGTAAACCGGATACCAATATTAAATTTGATATTGATTTAAAGAAGAGGCAATGACCATACTAATTACCGTTTTCTGAGAGACTAATTTTAGCGAATTTAAAATGTTCACTTGATAAGATATTACAAATAAAACACAACTAATTTTTAGCGATATTCAATTTAGCGTTCCCGGAACCCTTGCTAATAATGCCGAAATTAAATCCTCGCTAACAATTCTACTTACATGGTATTCCTTTTGTTAACAACATTTCTGTATTATCAATACATAATTTTTTAAAATAATTTTAATGCTCTATGTACCACTAGAATTCTGTTCAAAATGCATTTCTACTTTGAAGATAATAAATATTATTGATCAGAAGAAGTCTGAGCTTAAAGACATGTGATATAAACATTTTTTATTTCTTCATTTTATGTTCCAGGTTTAGAAAAGTCGATAATTCTTCGATTTTTCCCCCTAAGACTTGGAAAATAAAATAAACTTTGAAATATTAATAATACTTCAATGAAATAACAAATGTGGACAAATCACACTCAGTAAAGGTTTAGGGATGGAAACAAATTACAGAACATTTTAGTGTGTTGCTTAAAGTATTATATACATGTAAACTTTAGAAAAAATGTACCAAACTATCTGAATTTGATGTGAAAAAGCAAAATTGTAAAAATCAGCTTATGTGATTTTCTTATCTGTGTTACAAGTAATTGATTAAGTCGGAATGTCAGTAAATGATTAGCTATCAAAAGTGGATTGTTTTCGGAGAAATTTTTTTTTTAAATTCGATATCATAGAATATCTGGTATGCATTACACACACATGTCAACATTTACATTATACTGAAAATTATTCCAACAAACAAGCGAGAATTCGATAATATTTACAAATAAAACTTTTGAGGTAACAATTTTTCAATGAATTATGCCCATTTATTTTCATTTTACAGCTAGTGTATGTTTGTAGTATTGAAAAAAATAAAGCAAATCAAAAGACATATGAATGTCAAAGGAAAAGGAACAAAGAATGAAATAATCAAAGGAATAAATGAGAATATTTACCGTCCAACCTCCGCCGCTTGTTTCCATATCACAAACAACATCAATGAGTTGATTAGGCAACGGCTGGATTGTATAGACCCCAGACCCCCTAATACCACTATCAAATAGTTCCTTACAGTCAAACGCTGAAGAAGATGTAACAAAATGGGATATACTCCGACACATAATTTCTTTAAAAAATATTAGAAATCTCATTTTATGAAGTAAACTACCTTCTTTTACGAGATACTTCCAACCACTCTCTGGCGTTCTCATGATATTGAGGGGACATCTTTCATGAATGCGGCATTTCTTTAATCCGTGATTGTAGCCGAAACAGGTGCATTGATCAATGCATCCACTGGCACAAACTAACTGTGAATTTGCAGAGAACATTCCAATCAAAGAACTGTCATCAGGTCTGTTGTCAGGTTTGGAATAATCTAAAAAGGACTGTGTTATGGATTTTGAAGATGCTAATAGTTTCGGCAAAAGTACAAAAATAATAGCCAAAGTCATTAGAACGAAATATACATCCATTGTTGGGAGAAAAGGAGAATTCAGAAATAAGTTTATAACATCCTTGTCCTTTTGCACCTCACTCAGCTTATGGTTATACCTCTGTCAGTTTGATCGACGTGATTACAATCCTCCCACCTAATACAATTAGTGTCTTCGTGATTGCTTTGTAATTATGAATTGATTGGATCTTTCTTAGCAATTTCTGTAGGTGTTAAGATATATTATAGATATTCGTGTTGTGTCTGATTGGGAAGTACGGAAATAATATTCAAAACAATTTTAAAATTGAGGGTTGAAATCCCCCAACTTAGAGATTGACATAAAATCAATATAATATACAACCAGAAAAAACCATTCTTTACTAAGGCAAGGCTATTGATACTTATTGAAATACACAGCTGGTTGTTGCATTGTTCACAACATTGTTTGAGGTATTATTTTTGATGTCATAATGCCTCTGCATGCGCATTAACCCTCAAGAGAATACGGGCTCGAACCCGGTGAATAAACGGTGATATAAACTGTTTGCGTTTAAATATATCATATACTAGGAACTTTTAAAAGACTATATAGTAATTATAAGTATATGTTCTACATGCAAACACGAATATTGAATTACATACATGTATAATCAGGTTTATTAAAAAACATATTACATTATGTAGATGAATCAACGACAGTTTTCTGTAGTACTTTATTGGATTGTTATATAAACATTTTCATTAATATATATAGATATAAAGATCAATTATCGCAGGAGACATGGGTATAAACAGTTTGTCAGTGTTGTTCCTCTGAAAATGTAAATGCATATGAATGTTATTCTAGGTGTCATTATTATACTATGGGTTAGAACTTTCTTACTGAAACAAGTGTCTGTGCATACAGCATATAATATATTTACAACTATTTTAAAAACCCAACATTCGTTATTGAATTGCAAAGATAAAAACCTTTTCAAACGCACTCAAAATAATAAATTTTAATTTTACGTCACGCTCCTCACTAACAACATAAATGATCGTTATCGGTCGGTTTTTCCAATTATAATTAAGAGAATGAATTGTTAATTGGTGCTGCATTTGTAAAGATTGAGATTTGCATAAACATTACGTGAAATAATAAATTCTGTAAAATGCAAATGAATATATCTTGTTTGCTTATATAAAGAAAAATCTGCAAAATATGTAAAATTGTTTTTTTTTTCATTTATCGGAAAGGACAATAACGTAGATAAGATCGTCTGGCACCAAAAACACAAGTGACAAGATTGAACAATTCCTTTTAAAGCATTTATAATTGATTGGTCCTTATACTGAAATACGTAATTATTACTTAGGAATATAATACATGTACAGAGAAAGTAATGAAAGACTAACTTTAGAATAAAAATCGTGAAATTTACTTAATCAACTTAATTCGAAAGTTTATTAAAGAAAAAAAATTCAAAAAATTATTTAATTGTGGAAGAATAAGTCACCTAAAATGAGTTTTTATTTTGTTTTCATTTTTCTTTACCCCATATATTTGCTGCTCTATTCGCGCGCACAACTGGGTACAGTCCACAAAGAAGAAGGTACGGTTTGGGCTTTACTGAGCCCAAAAGATTTCATGTTTATAAAAAGTTATGAAATTGGCTTTTACAATAAGTGAATAGATAAATATGATAAATCATTAAAGAATATGACATAAAGGATGACCCTTCTGGAAACATGACGTCACTTATTGGTACATTTCTACAATTAATGCAGAATACCCTTAAAATGACTCATTTCTGTGCTTATTTTCCTTTGGAAAATAGTGTCTGCCACCGTCGCCCGCTCTAATTTTTTTATATATTATGTAAATTGCTTTGAAATATCACACATCTCAAAATCTTTTTGATAGTGGCAAAGTATGCTTTCTGAAAAGAATTTTCACTGAAAATTGGTGTCTTCTGCAACTTTTTAAGAGAATGAGGGAAATGCACAAGTTAATGACGTCTCAACTAGCATTTAGGAGGTCATATGAGAAAAACAATTTATGTATTCTTACTGCATGGAATCCGTATGATTCAGAAGGGATGAATTTTAATTTCTTATATCACTTTCATTTTTGAAAAACACAGGGCTTAATGTGTATTGAAAGGGTACCGTGTTCTTGTTTTCCCATAGGCGACAATGTAAACGTTTCTACTCATGGCGATGTCCCTAATTTCGTAAGTGACCCCTGAAATCAAAGCACATCAAGTTGTCTTTCCTTAGTTAAAATCTCGATGTGGCATGTCAAATTCGTTTTCCGGCAAATTGTTTCTGTCTGTGGGAACCTCTAAAAATGAAAGTGTATGTCGGGAAACTTCAGACATTTAACTGGGTTACAATACACAAAATAATTCGGCTGATCTTTTTTTTTCCTATTAATTACATTTGCCAAGCTTTTTTGATCCGAGAGATACTCCTTATCAACAATTGTGCTTAGTCTAGTACATCTTCACAATCTTTTATGCAAGTCTGCAAACTAAGAAACTTGTCATTTTTTCTGCACTACTTTCTTCTCTTACCGATTCTAAAAATAATAAGTAGGATGTAACCAACTACTTGACCTAAACAAATATGGCCGTTGTAAAACCTCATATGCTTTGCGCCTCAATAAATAAGTTAATGGAGCGCTTAGAAATATTTACATAATAAGAAAATTAGACATTTACACGGTTAGCTAAAATATTAGATCAAATAACCATAGTTTTCCTTTAAATTGTACTTAGCAGTAATATTCTCTTAAAAGAGTACGACTACTTGGCCCTCGAGGGCATATTTTTGTTTTCTCTGAGTGCAGTCAAATTAAATATTCATACATGCATTATAACACATTTTTTTATTTTAAAGTGTTCACTGTAACAAATTAAAACTTTTGAATAATTAAATATGGTTTTCTTTACATATTTGCGTGATCATTAGCTAAACAGAATTATAAAACTGGCATTGTCGAAATAGTTTCACTATCTTCAAAGAGCATTGATATTTCTTTGCAAAACAATCAATTTGCAATTAAATTAAATGAATTTACACAATTTCAGCATGTATCCTAATATTGTATTGATCAATAGTCTAGACATGTCTAAAATTTATCTCAATGTATAAATGCCAAAAGGACAAATCATAGCAAAAATAGGATTTACATTTCTAACCAATATTGACTACAGTACGTAATTCTTTATATTGCTTTTTCTATAAGTGTTAATTAGTCTGTACGTGACATTATGAACTTTGCTTTGCTTCCCTACGCTTGGAAATTAAGTTTGGTAAGTGTTTCAATATGATCTACATTGTACATACAATAAGCGAGGCGCTAAAATTAGTTAAAGGCAAATAGTAGTTCACATACACATGAATGTATTGTCCCCCGCTGAAAGTGGGGGATATTAATGGCGAGATTTAATTTATTCTGGAAGTGCTAAATCAGACAAGGAAATGTAGTAAAAATGTTATTGTAATAGAATGGATTTCCTGTCGTCAACTATGTAAAACTTTCATTCACTATTGTGGCCCGCCCTATCCCCAGGGTCATGATTTTAACAATTTAGATTCTACGTACATTTTTACACTACCCAAGGATGTCTCCACATAAGATTCAGCTTTCCTGGCCCAGCGGCTCTTGAGAAGAAGATTTTTCAGATAAATTTGTATGTAAAACTTGGATTCCTTATTTTGGCCCCGTTCTACCTCCGGGTGTCATGATTTTAACAATTTAAAATCTACACTACCCAAGGGTGCTTTCATATAAGTTTCAGCTTTCCTGCCCAGTGGTTCTTGAGAAGAAAATTTATCAATGACCCAACCCTATTTTTGTCTTTTCTTGATTATAACCCCTTGTAAGGGGTATTGTCCCTTTATTTTAACTTGAGAAGAAGTAAAAAATGTGAAAAGTTTACAGACGGACGGACGACGGACAAATTATGATCAGAAAAGCTCACTTGAGCCTTCGGCTCAGGTGAACTAAAAACAAGACATCTCTTTGTGCAACTAGTGTGAATATTTTAATCATCAGGAAAGATGGAGCAACGTGTTGAAGTGGAGTTTATGTGGAACAAGGCATACGTTTGTATCATTATTCAAAAGCTTCATCTTCAAAACTGTAATGATTTAATGTTAGATAATAACTTCATCATGTCTTTGTATCGGTTTACAGCTTGTATGAAGGCTTATTTTGGTGGAGATTGCAGGTCTGCTTGTCCATTACCAACATTTCGTGCGATGTGCCAGTACATAAGTCGTAAGTCCTTTCGTGAGATGATTTTATAACTTGATTATTTTTAATTGAAAGGGTATAAAATAATTTATTAGTGAAAATTATATGCTTACATATGGATGTGAATCTGGAACATTTGGTGAATATTGTTTGTGAGAAGATTTGTCTGTATCTTTACTATGGAAAGGGATGCCGACAACAATGTAATTGTATCTAAGAACATTACAGTCCCTCTTAAGGATGTATAGGTAAAATCAAAAGTTAAAAAAAATATCCTTATACAATTAAATTGAATTGCCTAGCATAAATTGTTAAATATGTTTCCCTTTCACGCTGGAATTTTTTATTTTAAATGAAGGAAATAGTAAAGGGAAATATAAGCACAGACTTTTTTCCGTAAATCTCGAAAGTGGTACTTTAATGTGTATACTGTGAATTTTCGTTGTTTTCGTGGTATGAAGAGACCCACGAATTTATGTCCACCACGAAATGTAAATTTTCATATGCACAACTACTAAAAAGTTCTTCAGCCACGAAATCAAATCCCCACAAACCAGCATTTTTTCCTCAAACCACGAAAATTTGACCACACGAAAATATTTGATTTTACAGTATATATTTAATTAATGTAAAGTAGTTAAAAAGCGTATTTCTGAACTTGATTTTTTTATCTATTAATACATGTAACATATAAGTAGTAAAGATGTAATATGTCTTTGTTTTGCTACTACTACTTAAATTTTCATAAGATCAAAATTAAATTTTTTTTATCTTATATTTTTAATAGCTATAAATACCACAAATACGTCTTAGAATCATCTACTCCTCTAACATCCTAAGAAGAATTTTCACCTTCAGTTGCACAAGCAGAAACGTTGAATGTAGCAGAGTTTAGTTTGGATACAGCCCGGGAAGATACTGTGTACACTTATATTACTATAGCATTTACATCATACCAAAACGTTTTTAATTAAAATTTTCAAACAATTTTAGTAATTGCATAAACATTGTTGACAAATTTTGATAATCAAAAATATCAAACTATGAATTATTTATTCTATAAAAAAAATGTAATCTATTTTTGAATAAAAGTTAATTATGTTTAAATATCGTGTGAAAAAGAGTATTTGAAGTGCGGGAAAAACAATGTCCTTTCACAAAGAGTATTTTAAAATTTAATCCCAGGCCTTATTTACTAGCATTAAAGAGAGTGAATCGGCCACTCTGGATGCATGAGTAAAACTGCCAAAGTTAAAAGACCGCGAAAAATGACACCATATTCCATGAAACTGTGTTTTAAAAATTACAGCGGGTCAGGAAAAATTAAAGGAATTGAATAAACAGAAATATCATATATGTAGTTGAATGTGAATTTTACTCTTGTGACCGAATACAGTTAAAATGTGTACCTGTGCATCTTAACACTTCAGAATTTAAGCCGAATCATATCTAACGTGTAATCAATCGAATAATCAACAAAAATCATTATATAATATAAACTACAGTGCATTAACGATTTGTTAAGACAAAGACATTGGAAATGAAAATATCTGATATCAGTCAAACTATCTTAATATTTTTAAATTGAATTAATGTTATACCGATTTTGACATCATGTAAAATTCTTCTTTACTGGTTTCTGTAAAAAACGAGTATCATATTTTTACATTACAAAATGAATGATCAATATCATTACATGTATAACTGTAGCCTTATATTAGTATGTGTACATAGCATGGAGTTACAATTTAATTTAATAATTCATGCAAATTCATATATCCGAACGATTTTTTTTCGAAGTAATTTGGACCATGATACATTGCTTCTTAACGATATATTCTAAAATGACTACTACATGTACATGTATATCTTAAGGAGGCTGGTGGTTCAACAAATTAATCCCAAATTAACCACCAGATTTAACTTATTTTTTTAGATACGGTATCTTTAGCTGTCAATTATCATTTGGCAAAGAAAAATTCATATATTTTAGTTTAAAATTTTGATCATTTTTGTATATTTTTATATAGAGCTCTCCTTTTAGAGGAGATTGAAATAGTCTAAAAATGGCTGCCACTCCCCTGCCTCTTTAAAGGCCCTGTCACACCAAGCTGCGTTCACACGGAGTCATTACGGCGTTGTTAGATTTTTAAAATCGCCGTGGAATCGCAGGAAAATTGCACGAATTTCTGTAAAATTTTCACAATATGAAGATGTCACGGCGACGGATGCGATTCTACGGCGATCTCACGGCGTTATACTGCGTTCCCACGGAGATTTCTCGGCGATTGACTGCGCTTCCGCGGAGTTTTCACGGCGCGTTGGGAGTTTTCACCTCGTGTTCACGGCGTTCTCACTGCGCCTGTTGCGTTCACAATACGTTCACAATGCGTTCTATACTCATTAAAATATATTCAGAAGGAAAGTAAAACATTTTTGTTTAAAAATTCAAGTTACACGATGAAAAGTCTATGATGAAAAACTTCTAATCATGCCTAGAAATTCTAAAAATATTCTAGATAATTAAAATGCTCTATCTAAATAATTTAGTACTAAATTATTTATATTTGATAGTTTTATGATTAAACTCCTTTTTTCAATTTTATAGGTTCAGATGTGTTGTTAGATTTTCTTTGATTTTATTATGAATGTAAAAAAAAAATAATAAACACACTGAAAAGTTTTCTACAAAATTTAAGTAAAACGACAGAACAAGTAATTTTCTCTGAGATTATCGCTGATCAAATATGATCCTATTGCTCTTGTTTTGTGAGCTGGCTGACAACTCCGTGCAGTCGCTGTGTAATCGCAGTCGAAAAAATCATAAAACGATAAATCTCATTTATCAGAAGCAACGTAAAAACGCGATAGAAACGCGGTGACATCGCCTAGGACTCCGCGACATATCCGCGATGTCTCCGTGGAAGCGCAGTCTACTATCACTGCGTTCGTGCCGCGATCATGAGCGTCTTCACGGCGTTCGTACGGAGCTCCCACTACGTTGTTGGAGATCTCAACGCGCTGCTTCGGCGATCATACTACGTTTCTGCTGCGTTCTTATCAGACCGGCGCGTACTTTGTGCATGCTCAAAGTGATCGCCGTCCCCTGGCATTCTATGAGACCCTAAGCTACCCTACGGCGTTCAGGAGACTCTACTGCGATCACATCGGCGTTTTGCATTTTTTGAGGACGCCGTGCAGTCGCCGTGAGGACGCAGCCCCGGTGTAACAGGGGTTTAAGAATATAAACTAGTAAATTGGAGTATTATGACTAGGAGATTCTTGGAGATTCTGTAAAATTCTCGCTCATGAAAAATAAGTATTTTAAAAGTGCAGAGGCAAGTCTGGTAACGAATTAGTTAAGAGCTGAGTGCACTTCAAAATATTCAATCATCCAGGAAAGGTACTGTAGAACTACAGCAACATAGATACATGTGAACGATGTTACATGTCAAAAAATGGTGCTACGAATATGCAGGTGACGAATCGATGAGATACCGTTTAAGATTGATGAATTTGTAAACAACATGAAATAGGAAATACAAACATAAAGAAAGGTGAGTAAGGTGCTCTGTTAACTTATTTTAATTATACTTGTTTATTAGGAGTATTATCTATTATCCAAAGAAACCTTGACTACAATCATTTGAATGTTTCTTGCAGAAGAGCTTAGGCCTAAATATATATCACTCGTGTAGCCAAGACATCCGTTTTATTACTGATCTTTATAATCATCGTGACTTATGTACGCTAATACAAGGTATACAATTATTAACATTAAAAATTCTATTAAATATAGTTTTAAAAATACGTTTGTTGCTTCTAGACGTTTACTCCCATTGATTCTGTCATGAACATGATTGAATGTTTACGCCTCACAGCTATTTATAGTTTGTAAACATCTTGTTATTTTAGGTCAACTCGTTGTACATATTTTCGGACCTGGCCTTTTCAGTTCTCACGATGACTCTTAGGTAAAAGAACATTCGTTAGAAATGGATGATGGCAAGTATTTTTATTTCTGTTGAGAAAATTAGATTGGCCGTGTTTACATAAAATATGCTCTCTCTCTCTCTCTCTCCGGTCTCTGCGTTGATTGTATGTACATGTATGTTATTTAGTAAATATTTATTTGAATATTTTCTTTTTTCTCTCAATATACATGCTCTTTTATTATATTTTTTGAAGATTTGTATACTATGTCGAGGAAACCAGACGTTTCAATTGAAAATGTATTTATTCCAATCAATATCAAGGAAAGAATGAAGAAATCGGTCATTTTGCCTTTTAAATCCTCAGAGATTAAAGTTAAGTGATTTTAAAAACAGAATTAAACAAGAAGTATATATTACTATTGCAGCAATTTTTTTCTTTTTAGTAATTTATTTGATATTTAGCTCTACTGGTCAGAGACCAGAAGAGCTTATGCGATAGTAATGCGTCCGTCGTCCGTCCGTCTGTCTGTCCGTCCGTCTGTCTGTCTGTCTGTCTGTCTGTCTGTAAACAATCTTTCAAAATGCTACTCCTCCTACAGTTTTTATCTGATTTCAATATAACCTGGCACACAAGTAGACTACACTAAGATACATAGTTCTGTGTATCGTTTTTAGATTTTGATTAACGGTGTTGCCGTTGTTACTAAAAATAGAAATTTCCGTGAAATTCTTTCAAAATGCTACTTCTCCTACAGTTTTGGTCTGATTTCGATATAACTTGGCACATAAGTAGACTACACTAGGATACATAATTCTGTGTATCGGCTTTTGATTTCGATGAACGGTGTTGCCGTTACTAAAAATAGAAATTTCTATGAAATTCTTTCAAAATGCTACTCTTCCTACAGTTTTGGTCTGATTTCAATATAACTTGGCACACAAGTAGACTACACTAAGATACGTAATTCTGTATATTGGTTTTTGATTTCGATGAACGGTGTTGCCATGGTAACTAAAAATAGAAATTTCTGTTAAAAAATCTCAAAATGCTACTCCTCCGGCAGTTTAAGTCTGATTATAATATAATGTGGCATGCAAGTAGACTATACTAAGAACATAAAGAGACTTAATCAAGGATCATTATTACTTTTATTGCTGTGGTAAAGTTTCAATTCCCAACTTCTTAAGAACTTTTCTCTTCCTTTGCTATACCGGTAAGTACAAACCAGTAGAGCTTAATTCAGTCTCGACAGAGACTTCTGGTTATTTCAACTTTTTTTCTAATTACAGAGGCTGCTGAAAATGTAGGTCATGTTATCTTGTACGGGGTAAGTAATTTAAAGGGTAACTACAGATAAAAATATTAAACTCTGCTGTTTTAAGTTTAAATCTTTTTTTAACAAGTGATATCTCTGAATTCATGCTTTAGCCATTTATGCTTATCACTTCATAATGTTCCAGGAACCCGGAACTGGGAAGACTCTCCTGACTTACGCTATAGCAACGGAACTGAAACACGTGACCTGTTTCAGTCTCTCTTTCTACGAACTAAAAAACGATGGGTAATAAGTCCTCTGTAAATTAACAATTCTGATTGATTGTGTCCCAGATTGAGTGTTGAAATAAGAAAATAATTTTAATTATCATTATTGAAAATAATAATAGGATATACAAACAAAAAAGGGGATATTTTGAATTCAAGCTTGCTGGTCTTCAAGATCAAATTATTTTTTTTAGTATGAAAACTTTTTGAATGGCACTCTTAGTCTAGATAATTGATATTAATAAAATGTTCATTTTATTTTCAGAGATGTGCGAAACCTTTTATCTCAAGCAAGGCTTAAAAGGCCAGTAATAATTTTCTTGGATGATGTTGAGGTACTAAGTGTTACAGAAACAGACCAAGGAAAAAGGATTGCATCCGAATTTCTACTTCAGCTTCAAGGGTCACCTAACAATAGCACAGAAGACATATTAGTAGTCGGAATGACAAATAAACCCTGGAAATTAAATTCCGCTGTATTAAATTGGTACTTATTCATGAAATGTATGATAGAATATGAGAGAGAGATAGAGAGAACTTTCGTGCCACAATATATCCATATCAACAGTTTTGCGTTTAGGGTAAAATCTATGATCAAACTAATTCCAATATGTTCTTTACAGTTTTCCTATCAGAATTGAAATTCCATTACCAGATGATATGGAAAGATTTGATATATTTAAATATCAGTTAAAGGGTGTCGACATTGATCTATCTGATAAAGAATTCCAGGAAATTGTGAAACGGACACATGGGTAAGATTAAAAAAAATACATGCACTTATACAACGGAGCTATGCAATGTTATGACTTGGACATCTCTCTCTCTCTCTCTCTTTCTCACTCTGATCTGGTCACCATTGCATATTAGGAAAGCTCATTTTCTTTAAAGGGACTTGAACATAAATTTACAACAAACTTATTTTATGGAAATTATATAATTGAAAGTACGAATTTTGGGACGCTTTCCGTGCTAAGATATGTGTGCAGCAACTTCACATCTGTGTCCAAACTTAAGCTTTCTTACTGAACTTCTTCAGGCATGTGCATGTATACTATATCATCACATTTTCATTTTTACATTCCAAATAATGGTGACTAATCTCATAAACATATTAGTAAAATAAAGCAACTATTTATAGATTCACTGGTGCTGATATTGTTGTACTTGTTCGAGATGCTTTATTGCAGCCGGTGCGATTGATTCAAAGAGCAACACATTATGTAAAAGTAAGACTTAAAAAAAAGCGTCAAATTTTGATGACTTCCTAAAAATGGAAATGAGTTTTGATGTTAGAATTGGAAATGACAATGGTTATGAAATCTTGTTTCTTCTATCTTAACGATCAAATAATAGGGACTATATTTATTATTAAAGGTTCAAGAAACAACTTCAGATAACCAGCAGACAGCGGGTGAGAAATGGACACCTTGTTCTCCAGAAACTCCAGGAGCTGTAGCCATGACGTGGTCAGAATTAAAGGAAGACCAGATCTTTTTACCAAAGCTTAAAATGGTGAGATTTTTTAAAGTACTGTCGTATTTTTGATAAACAAAATTAATATTGTTTCGGTATTTCTATCAAAATAAGTTCTTTGAAACATGTCCGGCTATGATTTTCAAACAATTGTATCAAAAGTTTTGGATTTTTTAAAGGATGACTTCCTTAAAAGTTTATCAACAACAAAACCATCTACTGATGATAAGTACCATGATGCAATTGCCAAATTTACAAAGGATTTTGGGAACTAGAGCATGAAGCTGTACAATCATGACGCATGAAGACAATAGAATCCCGTTCTCACTTGCACGTTCCGATTTGCCTCCCACTGTTCAGAAGATTTACCACTATAATGATTGTTATATTTATTAAAGCCTATCACAAAAGAAAAGAATAATTAACATGTAGAACATGAGTGATTTCTCTAAAAATATGGTATATATGTATATTTCATGAAGAAAAAAATGCATTTCAATAAGATATGCATGTGCTCTGTTAGTACATGTAGATGTATTACGACATCCGAACTAACTTTCAATAAAGATACACATGTTTATGTATGTAGGATATCACGAAAAAAGATATTTTAAACATTTTTAATAACAGAACAACATTATACTATTTTTAATTTTTTGTGATACTGAAATTTCATTAAAATTTAATTTATAAATCCCATGCCTGATTGTTGTTTTACATTCCTTTTCACTTGTACGAGACGCCATTTCTTACCAGTCAAGGACCTCTCAAAGAGAGGATATTGACCTTTGGAAACAATAAATTTTATATTTCCTGTTTTAGTTTGAACATTAGTCAAAGCTTTTATGATGAGTCACTTCAATTTAAATAGGGACAGTCATAAAATGTTGTAGAATATACAATAGAAACAGCTTTCCCTTTAAGTTTCTTTGAGCTGAAAGCTCAACTGAGCCTTATTACCCGTCATCTGTCCGTAAATCTGTTATCTTTTCACATTGTTAACTTTTCTTCTAAAGAGCTACGGGGCCAATTGTAACCAAAGGAAACACGAAGTATCTTGTGCAAAAGGGGATTTCAAATTGTAAAAATAAAGGACCAAGTACCATTGCAAAGGGAAATGATCATGAAAAGACAAAAATAGCGTGGGATCTTTTAAAACATCTTCTTTTCTAAAACCTCTGGGCCAGGAAAAAGGAAATTTTGTGGAAGAGTCTTTGAGCAGTGTAGATTCTATTTTTTTTTTCAAAAAATGACCCTCCTGTATAGGGAGGGGTCACAATAGGGAATATAAAATTTACATTGAAACATATATGAAACAAACTTTAAAGAATGTTCTTTTCAAGAACAACATTAGGGAATACAAAGTAAATATCTTCTCAAGAACCACTGGACCAGAAAAGGTTAAACTCCCGTGGAAACATCTTTGGGTAGTGTAGACTCTAAAATATTCAGATCATGGGAAAAGATAGGGCTTTTTTGAGTTTCATTTAAAATGCGAGTTCAAATCAACATGTTTTAGGAGAATGTCAACATATGTTACATGTAACTACATGTAAAATGTATAGAAATATACACTTACATGCAAGTGCTTTGTAAGCGCAATTTGTAGTATAACATATTGATCTGTATTGCAAACATGCGTTGGCACTTGAAAAATAAATTTTGATTTTATATTTTCGAGTTATCCAACTCGAATACATCTTCCTTGATGACTAGTGCATCATTAGTGCATGGCGTGCATCAGAAATCACAGTACAATATATTAACAAAGTATTGTAATCATAACGGTCTTATTACTTTAGAAAACTTATAATGAATTATACAAAAAAGTTAACTGCATATGTTACATGGAGTAGGACCTGCACCCTTTTTATAATGACATTCTTGTTAAGGTACACAAGGACACAACTCTGTGGAAAGTGAGTATTAATCTTATGTTTTTGAATTAAAACGATCTATCTGTTGCATGTTTTCATAAGTATTCCAAAAAATAAAAGTTATTCTTAAATAGCAATAAAAAACTTCGTCAAAACCAAAGGGAAAGTCTTTGATAATATTGTTTGAAAAAAAGCCTAAAATGAACTGATGAAATAATGTAATAACGATATACGCACAAGAACGAAACACACAGTAATCAATCTACAAAGAATGTTGAAATTAATTGATGATATACAATTTTTATAAATAAAATAATAAAACCCAATCTATGATTGAATATGATGTTATTTCAATAATGTAGGTTATCTGAATTCATTAATAAATATCATCAAAAAATCAATATGTCCTTATTTTTCTATCAACGAAATAAACTAATGACATTGACAAGAATTCATGCGTTTCATATTACATCAGATTTGCCTTTTTGGAAAAAGACGTCTTCAGATTGTTTCCCCTATACGAGTATTGTAAAATAAATTTGAAAAAAAATAGTTTTTCATATATCCCTGTTATATTTAGGGAATGAGATGACATTTACAGAGGATTGCACAGGAAATATTGTTTCGTTTGAATTAAGAATTTTAAAAACATAGAAATGGTGTAGGGTATCGAAGGTAAATGCAGAAAAAATATTACATATGTTTTTTTTTCAGTGGCTGTTGTGCGGGTTATATGTGGAATAAGGAGCTTAAACGATGCATAGGTATGTATTCTATATTCTAATTTATCAGCTATTGGTTGTTGTTTTGCTGATTTGGTTAATAATTGTAATATACGAGGGTTGTCCAATAAGTTCATGGACGATGGCGTTTTTGTGAAAATAAATTGTATTTATGAATCTGTTGTATATCAAAATATTTCTTATAAAAAAAAAACAGGTCGGAATGATTTGATTTTTATCGATGGAACGTAATATTTTTTTGTAAAAAGTCGGGGTCCTTAAAGATTGCAGATTCGCACGGACCAAGGTTAACATTACATAAACTCGGATATAAAGTGTTCGGATTTAAATGTTTTTTTTTTTTTTTTCTATATAAAACAAGTCAAAAATTAATGAAAATTTTATATAACACAAATAAAGAGGCTATAGTCATTTAATGATATCTCAAGTATCTCGTATGTATTTTTGATATTTTTTACAGCAATAAATGTTAATTTACTTTTTAAACCAAAACATTTACATCTTTCTTACTTTCGGTACATGTACAATAACATGACTTTTAATCAACATTCTTAATGAATTTGGGGAAATTGGTTTATCTGTAATTGTAGCCTGTGATATCGGATATTATGGAGAAAATTGTTCGTCTGCATGTCCCTTTCCACGATTTGGAGAATCTTGTCAACATAGTTGTAACTGTTCTAAAAATGATTGCAACTTTAAACATGGTTGTAAAATGTTACTCGAGGGTATGTTTAATTGTACACATATCTATTTTTTTTAATGATTATCCTGTCCGGAAATATAGTTATTAAAATAAAATGCTTGCATCTTCTTTTTTTCATAAATTACAACAACGTATACTCAGATTGTGACAGCGGATTTACAGGTCTCTACTGTGACATTCCATGTCGCTATCCTTCCTATGGATACGCTTGTCAGAAAACATGTAATTGCGAAATAAGATTTTGCAATTTCTCATCTGGATGTGAAGGTAACATGTAGTTGTCATGAAATTCAGTAGAGAGCTATATATTCAAAACATATTCACAAATAACCGATTTTTTTACCTTAAATGCATTAGTTTTTCTGGTACAGTTACATCAGATTTCCTTTTATTTCATGCAGTTGGATCTCCGACTGTTGAATTTCCATCTCCATCACCAACTAAAAAGACAGCGGTAACAATAGTATCATCTACTACAGGTATACATGTACTACTCGAAACCAGTTAAACACATGCACACATGTTATATATATATATATATATATATATATATATATATATATATATATATATATATATATATATATATATATATATATATATATGCGGATATGTCCAAGATAAGTATCACCTGACATTTTGACACGGACGAAATTGTACTTTAGTGTGTTCGTTTTCCATATTTTTTTTTTAAGAAATAGGAAGAAAAAAACGTTTATTACTACTGTCAATATAAACGTTGTGAATTAAGGTATATACATTTTATTTTTTTCTGAGGCAAAATAAAAAAAATACAAATAAACTGATGGTAATAAAATACGACACCGATTTTAATACTCTATATGCTTATTTGGACAAATGGTGTCGCTTCAGTGATGCTAATGCTCAAGCGTTAAAAAATCCGGGGAAAACATAGATAAAAATGATTACTTTTCTCTTTTAACATGGCTTCATTTATACATAATTCTAGGATGTGACAATGGATTTGTTGGACTATACTGTAACATCCCTTGCCGCTATCCATCGTATGGATATTCATGTCAGGAATCATGTAATTGTGAACAGAAATTTTGTAATTTCACCACTGGATGTGAAGGTAAAATCAATCAAGGCGGCTGGAGGGTGAGGGGGGTGTTTTAAGGTTAAGCAAAAATGAATAGGACTCTTTAAAAACTGTACAAAGAAATTTTATTCCTCATAATCTTTGACACAGCTGGATCACCAACAATTGAACAACCATCACCATCACCAACAGAGAAATCAACACTGACAGTGCTGTTATCTTCTTCAGGTATACGTAATACTATCTAACTATAAGCAGCCCTAGCTAGAAATACATTTATCTTTAACTGCAGGAAGTATACATGTAGACATTTTTTTTGCAGACGTTTGGATCTCTTAGCTCTTAGCAATTAACATAAAATTGAATTATATTGACTGTTGAAAGATTGTGCAATGAAATCACATCTTCGGTGTGGGCAGATTTTTATAATTTAAAAAACTTATTCGAGAAGACTTAATTTTGGGTTAAACGGCAGTCACCATATGACAGTATACACGTAGTATAATATACACTTTAAGAATACTATCCACCCCCCTTCTATATATTAACGCAACACAACATAGGTGTGAGCCAGACAAGCTTTGCAGGCAGCCGGCTTTTAATAATTTTATTAACATTCTTATGTAGCAAGACAGATTGACAAATCCTTGTTATTTAAATAAACCATGACATAAACAATTATGCAAAATATCCCCATAATCGACATTAAAAACCGCCCAGGAAAAACCATAGATAAAATATATGAAAAAACTATGGAAACCTGTGTCCGAACGCAAGTGTTAAGTAATGTCTAGGGGTGAATATCGGACTTATTCATATAAAAAACGAAAAGAAAAATACAAATATATATTTGAATTTAAACAATCTTGTCAAAACAAAATAAGAAAAAAAAAATAGTGCTCCGTGCACTGAGAAAGACTGGCTTAGAATGACCTTAACTTTACGCCACTGACCCTTTATACTGGCCTTCCTATGGCCCGCCTTGTATTACTACGCATAGCTATTCAAACACGTTGCTATCATACAACGTTTTCCCGCTATTCTCCGAAACGCGGGAAAACTCTAGTATAATATACACTTTAAGAATACTATCCACCCCCCTTCTATATATTAACGCAACACAACATAGGTGTGAGCCAGACAAGCTTAGAATAAAATGTTCAAAAGTAAGCAAAAGTTGTAAACGCTATGAAAAAACTCAACAAAAATGCAAGTTATTATGAAATATATGATATAAAACTTTTTTTTTTTTTTTACAAGCATATTTCATTTACCAAAGAAAAAATTTCAAGTCATAATCCTAAATTTTTCGAAACAGAAAGTCTACTTTCTAGGCTGTCTTTCACGTATCCATCTTTGGACGAATCTGATGCCCATCTACCATGTTTCTTCCAACATCGCTCGTTTACTTTGGAATTTGCTGCAGCCGTCGCACCTCCTGAACGCAGAGAATGAAGACCAATATTGATGTTTCCCATAACGGATTTAAGTTTTGACAAAATGCACTCCCTGGCCCTGGTATAACTAAGTTTTTTGTCTTTGTATATTAACTTTAAACCGTCTTTACATTTAAACACGGACTTGAACAAAAAGTGACCAGAAGAAATGTCTATACTTCCTAAAGATATATAACGATTTAACATTTTAACTGGACAAGCCGAGGTAACACCAGCAGATATTAAAATTTCGTTTCCTTGTCTATATTGATCGGTTTTGCTTTTGTTGATGGAAATTTTCACATATCTGTCCATGAAAGTTAAATCTAAACAACGGAGAGAACTAAGCTCCTCGAAACGTAAAAATCCAGCAAAAGAAAGAAGAATCATACACAGATCACGCACTTCTAACAAATTTGTGCTGTCGACATAAATATCACACAATAAAATTAAATCACTGGCTGTGACGATTTCCTTTTTTATAACTTTAGGTTTGTTATTACGCTTGGAAGCCTCTAATAAATTTTTAATGAAGGAGTGTTCTGTTGGATCCTTATGGCCTAAAATAGAATGGGCCCACTTAATAGCATATACAGCACTGGAAATGACGTGGAAAGAACAACCGATGTGCAGTAAGTGAGTGAGATACAGGGAAATGTGAAATGGATTGGCCGGTATAGCTGATTTTCCTTTGTTTGCGATGAATTTTGACCATCTGCTGAATGATGAAATATATTTCTTGCTGGTGTTCACACTTCTAGATTTCATGATATATTCACACATTTTTGTTGCTAACACTGCATTATCTGGAGATGAAAGGTCCACACCTGATGAAATCAAACTGTCCTGCACACTCTTTTGAACATTTAGCTCTGAAAAATAAATAAATGACAAATTGTATATTATTAACATGTATCTAAAATTCGATTCGTAATGCAACCATGTCAAATACTTTGTGACCTCCAAATATACCATTTGCCCCTCTACCTCTTTCAGTTATCAAAGAATTGACCTTCTTCACTCCCTTAATAAAATAATCCCAATCATCCCCTTTGCGTAATAAAGGCCAAAATGGGGAAGATTTCCATTGAGGAATGATAAGAGTACCCTTTCCTTTGTCTTGTTTAAGTTTGTTTATTGTCTTACAAACCAACCTAGGAGGCGGAACCAACCAATTATTGTCATTACCCCAGAAATGCTTAAAAGCGTCTATCCCACTGGTATCTGGGCACCACCACCTTGAATTAAATTTAATGCATTTAGTATTATAGTCTGTTGCAAACCTATCGCATGAGTGTATGCCCCAACAACTGTCAATAGTTTGAAAAACACTATTTTTTATTCCCCAGTCATCACTATCAAAACATCTACTAAGCAAGTCTGCTTGAATGTTATTGCCTCTTGGCACCCAATTTATATCAAACACTATTTGTGAATTCAGAATTTTTTCATTTATTTTAACAGCAATATCATGCAAATGAGACTTTCTACTACCGACTTCCAAAATTCTACAAGCACTTTTGCTGTCAGTATACCATGCTACGTTTTTGCCCTGAATACTTTCTCCTATAGTATTCAAACACCTGTTAATTGCTTCTAGTTCTCTCCACGTAGAACTTTTCAAGGATTCCTCTCCTGTCCAGAGACCTAGTACCTCTGTAATCTCTGAATTTTCTACATAAGCCCCAAAACCTGAATCAGAAGCGTCGCTAAAAACCTTTAAATCTGAAGATTCACTGCAAGTCTTAATTTCCTTACCATTAATTGACACTGCATTGTCTCTCCAAAATGTCACTTCTCCTAACGATTGATCACTTAGTTTAATACTTGAATTCCAACTGTATCTTGTCAATATGTCTTGATATAAATATCTAGTGTTGAAACGAACCGCATGTCCTATAGCGGCTTCCATAGATATGATCTGACCCACAATACTAGCTATTGATTTCACCAGAAAGCATACGTACCCAGATTGAGTCTTAAATAAAATTTCCTCGATACACTTGAGAAGCTTATTAATTCTCTCTGAGGTTACTTTTAAGACACCGTTAACCGTATCCCATTTAAAACGTAACCATACTATATTTTGCTGTGGGTACCAGACACTTTTTGAATCTGCAATAATAAATCCCAACTCTGTTAAGTCTCTTTTGATAATATCGCTAAGTAGAAATGCGTCATCAAAATTACTACATCCAGCTAATCCATCGTCCAAATACATGACAACCTGAAAACTCAGGGATCTCCAATACTGAACTACTTTTCTCATAAGTTTTGTAAAAATAAGAGCTGCTGAAGAAATGCCAAATGGTAATACATTGAAAATAAAATATTTGATAGCACCATTGATTTCCCATTGAAAACCTAGATATTGTGTATGCTGTTCAAAAATTTCAATGTGATGATACGCTGATTTTAAATCTAAGCTAAATAAAAAATCCCCTTTTTGAAAAATTTCTCTTGCAACTTTAACATCTTCCATTCTGAACGAAAAATCGTGAATACAAGCATTGATATGCCTACAGTCTAACACTAAACGAGGTTTACCTGCTTTGTTGAAAGCAAGAGTCAAAGGATTAACAACAAAAGGAACATTCCTTACCTGTGTTACGCAACCTTTGTCAATGAGCTTTTGAATCTCGGAATAAACAATTTTGACATTATCCCTAGCAGATTTGTTATTGTCCAAACAAACACTCTCTGGAATAGTTTTAAATGGAATCTTGTATCCGTTTACTATTACATCTAAAATGTACTTATCGGTCTTTATTTCTACCCATTTTGTCAAATGACTTCTCAAACGTCCAACTGGACTGACATTTTCATCTACAGTGGCCACAAAACGGCGTACATTCGTTTTTCCATCTAAAACACTAATCTTAGATAATACACTTTCTTGATTACTGCATATATTTTGAGCAATACTATCTAAATTACTTAACTTAGAGCTTGTCTCTTTGCTGTTGCTGGTGCATTCCTTTGCCCAATGACCGGCGAAACCGCATTTAAAGCATGTCCCCGACTTTTTGCTGCCCTCGTATGACTTGGTCTGATTTTGTGCGCTGTTGGACTTCTCCGGGTATGGGTTGATGCGTCTGGCCGCTCTCGCCTTTTGGATCCGCTCCTCTTTTAACTTCTTTTCGGCCCTTATTTCTGCCTTCAAAATTCGTTTTTCATCCTCCTCGTCAGACGCTAATTCGTGCTGCGTGTATTCTTGAACGGTGCGCCATCCCGTCTTGGATGAGTCTGCTAATTATGTTCCCCAAACGGAGTTTGGGAACATATTGTTTTTACTCGGTTTCTTATTATTATTATTATTATTATTCTTTTTTTTCTTCTTTGTTCTCCGGTACTTTTTTGTCCGCGAGTGTTCTCTGAAACTGTTCACCCAACTAAGCTAAAACCTTTTTAGGGTTAATAGGTGTGTAGTGTAGGTGTGCGGAACGAAGGTCATTTTGCGCGCATACGCATGCACGTGCGTGCGCGTGATATGAGTGAAATGACCGATATACTTAATATAGCTATAACTTTTACATTTTTTAATGAAATGATTTGAAACTCATTCTATAAAGATATATTAATAGTGTAGATAATATGACACTGTCAAATTAGCACGAACTCACGCGCATGCACGTGAGCTTCGCTCTGATTGGCTGAAACAAAAATCTCAATATCTTTTCTGTTTTTTGACGAAATGATATGAAATTTAAAATATAGGCATACTTTAGGATGTTCTACAATGTGATATATAACAATTGTCTTGAAAACACGCGCATGCACGTGCGCTGCAATCTGATTGGCTTAAACTTTAAATGGCTATAACTTCCTTGGTTTTCAACTAAACAGGATGGGATTTAGAACATAGACACATATAATGGACTCCTACAAGAAGGTATGGTCATCATGCACATACATGCACGTGCGTGCACGTGCGCTTCGTTCTGATTGGCTGAAACAAAAATCTCAATATTTTTTCTGTTTTTTGACGAAATGCTATGAAATCTAATATATATATATACTTTAGGATGTACTATAATATTATGTATAACAATTATCGTGAAAACATGCGCATGCACGTGCGCTGCAATCTTATTGGCTAAAAATGTAAATGGCTATAACTCCCTTGTTTTTCAACCAAACAGGATGGGATTTAGAACTTAGACAGACATAATAGACTCCTACAAGAATGTATAGTCCTCATGCACGTGCATGCATGTGCGTGCACGTGAAATGAATAAAATTAAAAATACGCTTAAATGAGTGTATTTCTTAATACTTCTGGATTAATTGATTTGATATTAATTATATTAAAATATATAAATAGTGTAGACAAAACGATATGGTCATTACGCACATGCATTCAGATGAGCACGCGTGCAATGCTAAAATTTATTGCATAAAGTGTGTCTTATTTAATAGCGCTTGCAGCGAATATGGCACCAAAAGGGAGTTGGGGAGCGTTTGGGGAACATCTGTAACGGTCCCCGTTACAATTAGCCCTAGTTTAATTAATTTTTGTCGCTGATGAATAAGCTCTATACCTGAGGAAATGCAATTAAAGGCTACTTCTGGCTCCCCTTCGCTCAGACCCGTGTTGGCCTCTACCAGCTTGTCTCTAATGCTGTTGTTAAATTTGTACTGAGCCTCGTTTCCCTTTCGTTTAAAGACAAAAGCCTTGTCGTTTGCTGCTTGAAGTTTAGAAAGCTGTTGCTCATGCTGTTGTCTTTGCTGTTTCGTTATTTTCTGCTCGAAAGATGATAATTTGGAGTCCATTATCTCCGAAACTCGTTGTAGTAGCTCGTCGTTCGCCATGCTGCCCGAGAAAAATAGTGCTCCGTGCACTGAGAAAGACTGGCTTAGAATGACCTTAACTTTACGCCACTGACCCTTTATACTGGCCTTCCTATGGCCCGCCTTGTAATACTACGCATAGCTATTCAAACACGTTGCTATCATACAACGTTTTCCCGCTATTCTCCGAAACGCGGGAAAACTCTATTCTGACGACATTTATCGGGTAAAATAAATAGTTTTTGTATTTTGATTTGAAAAAAAAATTAACTATAAGACATGTCACATTAATATGGCAATAAGATATCAATAAGAGTAATAAAAAAGATGCAACTGTTTTGATATTTAAGGAATCACTGTCTAGTTAGTATAGTATTCCAGGACATCAACGATAGTGGGAAACATGGGATAATTTATGCATAACGGGCGAATGCATAAATTATCCCATGTTTCCCACTATTGTTGATGTTCCTGGCATACAATACTAACTAGACAGTGATTCCTTATATTTCCATTTTATTGAATAAAATTGCAGATTTAGACTTTAAAAATGTAGACATAGATTTAAATTACCAGAGGACTCCCATGCCAATTTCAATAGTCCTCGCCCACGGACGTCAAACAAAAAGGCAGCTGCACAAGATGTACAAGCGTATTTGGCCTCCTTAGCGTCAGACACAGAGACAGATGCGCACGAGATTTTTATGCATATTAGACCTTCTTAGCTCCTGACCTTTCGACCTGCCTAATTCACATTCCGGTAGAATTATCAAGATATCAACTTTGCTGACTTTTAAAGAGTTATCACAGAGAAAAATTAGAAATGGAAATATGTTTTTCATATCGTTTTAGATGTGTTAGAAGACACTCAACATTTGTGCCAAAATAACACCTATTTTCATTATTGGATCATGCAAAAGAAAAGAAATTTACTGATTTTTGGAATAGCATTTTTAATGTCGATGTCAGTTTTGATGATGGTTATATACCTTTTTATAAATATTAAAGGATCAAGAAGCTGTTAAATACTAATTTGTTGATACATGTAAATATATATACACATTATATTTGGTTTTTTTTCAACAATAATATATTGATGAAAAAGTTTTAAAAAATGAAACAAATACAAGCAGGTTATGAAATGGATGGATCTCTTCTGTAAAGCTTTTTAAAGGCAATTATATAAAAAAGAATTTTGTTAATTTGAGCGAGTATCTGGCCCCGGGAGTATGACACAAACTTAGACGTAAGTCAAATTATCAATCAACAGTAAAAATATTTATCAAAACTTGATATCGCGATTACTTAACTAAGCAAAACTCTTTCGCGATGGAGGTAGGAAACGTCTGTTGGATGGGGACAAATGTTTTATTGAATACAAGGCAAGGTCGATCATTGTAGAAATTATACGGACAGATAATTAAAAAATCCTGGTGGAATACCTTGCTAAACAATCACTGAACCAGCCTAAATAATTTTTGAGAGGAGTTACTCCTAAAATGTTACATTTTAACGATATTTCAACTGAGCAGGCTCATCTCATTAATTTTTTTATTGAAAATCGTCACATTTTCAAGCTATTAAAATAATCTAAATTTTCCTTATTTGACAATCTACTATTTGGAGTTCAATTCTTGACAATACATTGTACTTTCGGCATAAAATTGTTCAAATCATTCGATTGCCACTACTGTAAACAATGCCATGTGCCCAGTAATCTCGCAAAATTTTGAGCTTTCTTGAACCCCCCGCAAAGGAGCGGTAGCAAGTTAGGTAACTGCAAGGTACTTGAGATACTACGTATTGTCAATTTAGAGATTACGTATTGGCAATTTCATCTCTAAATTGGCAATTCACAGCACATTAGTGATGCAACGTTTATGAGTATTTTTGATTTTGAATTTTACAACATTTCAGCTGACCATAAAGATTTCTACTTAAGCTTAAGTTGTTTCATGATTCCGGGGCCTGATTTATTGTATTCATGTTTATATGATAAACAAATCACTTGCTCTTTTTCCTATATTAAAATGACAAGCTACCGGTATATAAAATACATGATTGGTATCTGAGCGTAGGACAACTTTCTAAAATATAGCAGAACCTATTTTGTTAAACACGAAGTATATCCCAATTTTTCTTATTACTGTGGTTTTGAAGATATTAAAATTTCCGCTTCATATTTTCTTATCAATTTTATCTTGACGAATTTGTTACCGATTCGTATAAATTGGAAATTCAGGTAAAGAATGAAAGGACTGTGCATTGGGGGAATTTGTACATGTTTAACAATTACAAAATTGTTATAGGCAGTTTGGAAGAAGAGGAAAAAGATTATCTTATTTGGAAATTAAAATTAAGAAGCATAAGTAATACATTATGCTTTTGATATCGAGATTATGACTCTATCACTAGATTTCCTTACCTTTCAAATGCAATTAAATGGACTAGTTGCAATTGCTTATCAAAAATTGTTTTTGTTAATGCATTTTCCTTAATATACAAGATATCATATTTTGTTTCGGCACAACTTGATAGTAGCATTTTTTTCAATTCAATTTGGTTCTTTTCTTGTTTTAAACTCTTTATATTTATTTAACATTAATTTTCAATTATTTATTCATTAAAACATTTTTCCCCATCTTTCTTTCTTACTTACATATGTATTCCCTTGTTGTATCTATAAATAATTGGTAAAATGCCAAATAGAATATAGACTATAATTTTTTATAAAAAAAACACTTATTATTGTTTATTATTTGTTCAAATGAGAATAATCCCAGGAAATGGACAATGAATCGTTTTTCTCCAATACATTGTTAAACATTAAATATCTCTATAGATGATGATGAGTGATTTGTCATTGTCATAATTTATGGGACATAATTCATGATTCACGACGTATAGGAGAAAATGTCTGATTGTCATTATCCGTAGGATTTATCCAATTTGATGAAATTCATGGGGGAAAAATGTCCAAAGGGAAAAATATCCAATCTGACATTTTTTTTTTCTCAAATGGGAGAATGATGGATAGTTGGTCGGACTGAAAATCCCACCATTCTCAAATGGGATTCTTAATCTAAGGATTAATTTTCATATCTTTAGAAAAGGAGATGGTTGTGAGTTCAATTGATTTATTGATTGATTTTATATTGTTTAACGTCCCTCTCGAGAATTTTTCACTCATAAGGGGACGCCTTGTGAGTTAAACATGAGACTGCTAAGAAATCACAAAATCGTTTGGATATCACAGTAAGAAATAGTAGTAAAAATCTGGAGATAAATGTATTGTTTCTGGCAATTATCAAATGTGTGCAAAACAGGAACATATACTGCAGTTACAACAAGGTTTCGTTTGTTTTGATAGGAAACAAACATGCATTTTTTATTAATTTCATTTTCTTATTAAAAGGTGAACAACCCAGTGTGTTTAGTTTTATTTTCCTTTTAATTGCTGGTAAATTTTAAATTTTGTTAATATCTCATTTCATGGAGAAAAAAGGTTCTTTTTTTTTTTTTTATAAATTTTACGTTTGACAAGACCGAGAAATTTTGCTTGATATTTCAAAGCCTATGTCTACAATTAAATTAAGTCAGACTTTCCGAGGAGGATCTAGAAATCTCGAGGATTGCAGATATATGGTGAGCGATGTCACATGATTTCTTCTATTTTGTCCTATTGTACGTGTCGTTGTCAACCGAGAAGTAAGTTCTTTTGATGCCAAAAACCTACAGGGAACTGCTTCGCTTAAAATTTTATTGAAAAGTATTCTTTTCTTTAATTAACTAGAGTGCGCCAAGGAACGCATGTGTCGCCTGCTTATAGCTTCATTAAAGATGTACTAACTCTGAGAATGGTCAGGTTTTTATCTGCTACAAGTATATAGTTTATGCAAAAATAAAAATCCACACGCAAGGATAGTAACACTGGGATAAAATCGAAACAAAAGATAGAAATACTAGAACAAATCCTCAAAACTAAATTAAAGTAGATGTTAAGGCCATTATAAATAAATTGCAAGATTCTCATCCGATTTTTTTTAAAAATCGAAGCGGCGGCTGCTTTTATTTTATATTTTTTATTTTTTCAATTTTGTAGATTTTTCATTGACCTGGTCAATCGGGGTAATTTTATCTACAATACCCGAATAAAAGTCATAGTAAAGGTTCAATTATCTCTTACTTCACATCATCACCAATCTTTTTCAACCAATGACCCTTGTTTAAAATATATACGCATGTATTACAGCAATTACCATCTTTTCAGCTGTCAAAATCATGTCGAATTTCGCGGGATTTAGAACGAAAGTAAAATTGTAGATGAATACCGATCCCGATCAGAATTAAGACGAAGAAAAACAGAAATAAAAAAAAATCGAGGCGGGGATATGAAATCAGGGCGGGCGGGGATGAGAATCTAGGAATATTTTTATTATGGCCTAATGAAATTTATATTTTTATAAATAATTATTAATTAATTAATTTAATTTGTACGTAATTTCAACAATACTTCTTGAAAAATAAATTAAGTTTTGTCTTTAGGGCAATCAGTCATTTTGGAATACCGATCCGAATGTATTTTCATAGTACTTTTTAAATTTTATTTTTTGAGGTTACTGTATTTCATACAGTGTCAAAGACATTTTCAAGAGCTTATAAATATGTACAAATGCTAATTATCAAATCAATGCCTCTTGTTATTCAAAAGACGTAAATTAAAGTTAAGCCTCTTTAGTATATTTTGCAAAGTAGATCAAGGGTCAAATGAACTATAATGCTGGTATTTCTCAAAATATTACAGCCTACATTCTGAATAGCACAGACTTGCCTCTAAAACGTGATAAAAACGTCTTATATCGGCATTGTTAACTTTTTCAAAAAGTAGGTCAAATGTCAAGTTCAAGGACATTGTTACAGGACACTTTTTCCATTTTTTTTTTATTGACTTAAATCATTTTCAGCGACATTCAAACTCACGGTCAAGAATGTCAAGTTCCATTTAACGGATTTTAGAATAATATCAACAATTAAATGGTTTTCAAAAACCTGACACAGGAATATTTTGTTCATTTCACTTCAGATAAACTACATTAGGCATATCACCTGTACAGATTTCTTGATCAGTGGCCGTTCCATCAATGAAAGGTACAAAGACGTTCGGAACACAATAATTAATATTTTTAATCCTACTTAAAATGATAATTTAAACAGATATAAATATAAACAATAAAATGTCTTTCTTTGTTTGTTGTTACTGGAATGATCTTTTTTGTTTGTTGTTACAGAAAAAATTTACACAACCCGCTTACGCGGGTTATGTATTTTTTCTGCAACAGCTGCTTTTTAAAGCATTTTATTGTTTAAATATAATGTCCTTTAAGTAAAAAAAAAAATGACCAGCTGGGGCTCGTAACATAAAGGCTACTTAAGTCTAAGACCATGCTTAAGTAGGACTTATTAAGTACAGTCTAAAACTTAAGACCTCTCGATCACAGAAAACTTAGGCGGCAGGTAGAGGTGACTTAAGTATATCTTAACTTTCTTGTACATATATTTAGAATTCTTTAAGGTTGACTTTCGATGTTAAAATATTCCATTTATTATGCATTAAAGAAAATAATTATCTCTATATTTTTTTATTTTTTCGATCATAAACATACTCCCAACACAGCATTGTAAATACAAAATTTTATTTTAATCAAATTAGTGGGACTTTATAATAAATTAAACGCAGTAATAAACCATAGATCTGTATGTTCACTTTGAAAAAAAATGAGTTGAAATGATTTGTTACAAACAGAAACGAAAGAGGATGATGACAGTAACAATAATATTATAAAAAGTATTTGTAAAACGCGACAAGTGCGGATCCTCACTACAGTTCGAGAGAGATAGAGAGAGAGAGAGAGAGAGAGAGAGAGAGAGAGAGAGAGAGAGAGAGAGAGAGAGAGAGAGAGAGAGAGAGAATTGCTGATAAGTGTTATCAGTTTTTAGTGTCTGTTTTGCAATTATCCATAATACTTCTTCAGTTTTTGCTTCTGACATGCATGGCCTGATACACAGCGGGGATTCAACATGTATTGAACTCTTTAGAGTTTCAATTTTGAGTAGATAGACGGTCGATTGTCTTTTCTTGTCTGCGATAATAACAGGGTAAGTGAACATTTGTCAAAACAAAAGAGTTACATGTACAAAAGGAAAAACATCTCAGGTGATAAAACAATTGTTGTACATTTACAATGAACCACAAATCGCCACTTTCTGACCGTGCGGTATTTGTTTCAAACATTCCGATTAATTTATAACATAATTATAATTTTAATACGAAATCTAATCCATAACTTAAACCAATAGGTAAGGAATGCAATATGTAATGAATTAAAACCCTAACTGAATCACTTTTAGTAATATATTATATAAAATCAAAAACCATTTGACTCATATGAAATATTTTTAACATAAGTTTGACTTAGCTAAGACCTAGCTTAGTTTGCTTTATGTTACGGTTTAAGACATACTTGAGTAGTACTTAGACAGGTCCTAAGATCGTACCTAAAACATACTTACGACCCTACTTAAGTCAAAAACTTAGCAAGCTTTATGTAACGAGCCCCAGATTGTTCAGTATCTAGTGTCTGTTTAATTTCCTCTTTCAGACTCGGGGTGATATTTCCGTCCTCGTTTTTACACGAATTCAAATTAATTAAGTTAATGCTAGATATTCGCATACATGTAAATTTAATTATGAGAAAATTACTTGCATGTGTAAACTAGTCTATAGTCCTTATATCCTTTAAAAAATTAGAAAATGGCGGGGTTTATTTATTTATATAATTCTTTTTTCAAGTAGAACATATAGAATAAAAAAAAAACTTGCACCAAAAGGCTTTGCTACAACAAGGCTTAAAACAGGGATCCTGTGACATTCGAGAATAGTTTCTGCAATTTTAATCTTTACTGCTTCCGACAGCTTTTGCAGTGTCAGTCAGTTTAATTTACATAGGAAAGGAATTCGTTTATTAAAATGCTTGTGAAAAAATTCACACACTCAATAATATTTACAATGAAGTAAAGTGTCCCGGAAAGGAAATGTTGTTTATTTGAGTAAAACACAACACATGTACATAAATAAAGGAAATATATTTTGATGTATATGCCAATGAGCTTTAGTACAAAGGGACCAAAACATCCTTTTCAAGTTAGATATTTTACTAGGAAAAGACGTTAACGGTGATCAAACAAAGAATGCTCTTTGTTCAACATGATGAGAACTTTTCAATCACCAATATTTCTCTTATATTGATTGGCTTTTGATTTAAAGAGCTAGAATCCACAGATCAACCATGATCAGGCAAAGAATAATCTTGACTCTATTAAAATCAACCTTTGCACTAGGACTAATTCTTACGGCTGAAACCAAAAAATGTATGAGGTAAAACATTTTTAATTATAATTTTTTAACACATTGTTCTAGATTTTCAATCAATGAATGTAAAATTGTCAATTTTTCTGTTTAAATTTACAAAGAGGAAACGCAACATCCGAGTGTTGAAAAGTAGATATGTGATTTTTCGGTTTTTATCCAACAGCAATTATACAACCTGTAATAGGTGGAATGAAACATTCAACACATGTGAAGGTAAATTTAGGCATGGGAGAATTTTTTCTTTTCTTTGTATTATACATGTAAGTATTATATAAAAACAAATAACCATTGATCAGATTTAGTTTTTTTGGTAGCTTTGCTATATTTGCAAATGGTTAGTAATGTATATGTTTATCGTGTTTCCTATTATATACAATTTATACTTAGAGCCTTTTGAAGATATACATGTATAAATGTGTATTTAGATGGAAGGGCATAAATACTCATATAATTTGAAGAGGCGAGCACGAATGTAATGAATTACTATTTTGAAATTTTCAGAATGTGAATGTATGGATGGATATACAGGTTCTCAGTGTGAAATTCCGTGTCCATATCCGGGCTACGGAAAAGATTGTCAGAAATTTTGTAATTGTAAACAGCAGTATTGCATTCATATAACGGGATGTAAAGGTTAAAAATATTTCATTTATAAAATAATGGTTAATATATAGCATCATTTGGATGTTTTCCTTTCTTTTTCAAGAAGAAATGTGACAAAAGTGTAGAATTATAAGAGCAATATGATCATTTTCACAACAGTTTTCTCAATATTTAAAATTAAAAAAAAATGTTTAAATATTCACACAGTGCTTATTTATCTTTCTCTAAAGATGGATCTGCTACACTTTGGCCACCTGAAACAACAAAGAAACACAATTTGTTACCAAGCAAAACATTTACAGATGGTAAAAATTTTTTCGATGCTTTCTAATTACATGTATATTTGCTTTTTAAAAAACCTGTTTTTTTAATTAAACACTCACATATTGTCTAATAGAATATTATGCATTGCAAACAATATGAAAACAATATTTGCTGTGAAGAGGAACACAATTAAAAGGAAAAATTATTTTTAAAAAATCCCAAATAGCATGTCCTGGGAAAGCAATTGTTACTTGTAAGATATCCTTATTGTTGCCTGTGTATCGCAGTGGTTATAGGGCGTACGCTTTAGAGTCGCAGAGTGAGGAGTAAATTATTATGTTGGGGGTTTTAATCCTTTGAATTTGACCGCAAAAAACTGAGGCCCCGTGTTGCAGTATGTGTGGTCGCGAAGAAGAAGGTCCCTCACTACTTAATAGTCCTGAGTGCAGAGTATAAGACAAAATTTTCAGGTATACACCGGCTAATGATGAATTCTACATACGAGAAAAAAGTGTAAGGTACGTTAAACGACAAACAATCTAACACATCCCTTTCTCCTATCTACAATCAACGAAAGTTTATTTGAAAATCATTGTGGAACTTAAACTGGTCAAATTAATGTGGCTATAGGATTTTAATGTAAGGTCAAGGGTTTATTTCGATTGTTTTCATTATTCGGCAACCAACCATCCGTTGTCTGTCAGAGGTACATAAAGGTTACCGAAAAACCTTGATGGAGACGTCCCTACTAAACAACTTGTCATGGAGAAGTAACTATTTATCTTGCCAGCCTGAGTAATTACTATTCTACCACTATTGCAATCTGTTATTACAACGGTCGACAAACATATTCCTTATTATAACATTTACCTGAAAGGTTGTGAAAAAAATGTTAGATAATTTATACTGTAAGCTCTTCCAGCGTACCTCGCATGATCTATGTTTATATCTATATGGTTTATTTCTCATATTGAATACACCCAATCCAATGCACTCCTGGTTTCTCTCGACTTTCTTACGTTTAACCAAGTACTTTGTCCCTAGAGTGCAGAGTTGTCACCAATTTATAGACAATTTAGAAGACTAACTCGACGATAGGTTAAATAGACATTGGAATGCCTCTGCCACTATCGACCAACTAAAGCCTTGCGTGTAGCATAAGTTAGCGATACTCTTATGAGAATCAGGATGCAAAAGTGAGCACTTTACACATGACAATTAACAGAGCCTTGATTGCTGAGCGAGGGAAACATAAATGAAAGTATGCAAAACGATTTAACTTTTAGGTTACTACTAAATGCATTTCGAATAATAATGATATGTTGATAGTATATTTTTCAAAATTTTGTATTACACACTTTAAGCACAAAGCTAACATATTTTGAAATTTGTATTCACCCAATTTTCCATATTTTGTATTTTATTCATACATTACTAATATTTTCCAAGTCAATTTCATTTTTTAGCTCTTAGGAGAATTTTTTTTTTAAAGAATTATCCACTTTCCTTTACCGGTTACAAGATACACTGTATTAAGTTTCACCCCAAAAATATATATGCAGCATTGTTAAGGCTGAAATAAGGAGGCGAGGCCTAATTTATCCGGGAAAAATTTACTGTGACGTCACACTAATCTGATTAATGACTTAATTGGCATCCCCAAAAATATTATGCCACGGCCAATGTTCGCCAAAATAAAGGTTAAAAAACATATTTCCCTGTATAAAAAGCAAATTTACAGGAAAAGGTAATATGAGTTTAAAATGTGAATATGAGCAATGATTAATTTTTTTTGAAAGATATAGTCTCATAATTGCAAAGGTGTGTGCAAATAATTTTCATAAAGCCCTAACGCGCGTTATTCAATTTGTTTGAACACATCATTGCATTTATGAGACTATATTTAAAAAAATGATTAACTGGTAACTGCTGAATTTTTTTTTAGGTTGTCTTCATGGCTACACAGGACCTGACTGTAAACTTCAGTGTCGTTATCCTAGTTTCGGAGTGAATTGTCAAGAAGAATGTGACTGTCAAGAAGAGTACTGTAATTTCATCACTGGTTGTTACAGTTACGGTATCTATTAAAATATTCATAAAAGTATGCTTAATAAAAGTTACTCTTGAAGCCTTTATAACAGTATATCTTTGACGAAAGTGGTAAAAAGTGTGAGGCCTTTTTTTAAAAAAAAAACCAACAATACTGTGGAATCATTTCAATTCGTGGAGTCAGTGTTCAAGGGAAAGCAAATTTGACATGTACGTATTCATGGGGACGTAATTTAGTGTGTTTCTTGTTCTAACTATAGATTTAATGAATCAAAATGTTTTAAGAAATAACGTTCGTGAGGATTGGTAAGGGTGGCCCACGGAATCCATGAACATTGTTCCCAAACGAACGATGATAATTCCACAGTATATGACCTTTATATAAATCGATATTTGTTTTAGTCTTTAGAAAAAGCTTAATGATATCCGTTCCGGCCTCTGATTTTAGGCTACACGCATACACATTTTCTTTCTCGCGTATCGCTTTAATTCTATCTATAGTTGACAATGCAAACATTTTCCCGAAGAATAAACTGCAGACACTCTGCAGTTTCTCTCTCACACAGGGCTGTAAGTACAATTGAGGCAAATCCCTTGCTAAAATTTTAGAGATTTTCTGAAAAGGGAACTCAGAATATTTAATATTTGTATCTTTTTCAAAATTTGAATCCCCTTTTGGAATCTTTATATATGCTATACTTGCATCGTATATAAAAGAAGATAATGATTAAATTTTCAGTATAATGTAAATATTGATAATTAAAAACATTTATTTGCTTTCTTGTCAAAATCAATCTAATATGTAAATAGATTTTTTTCTGCTTTTTGCAGTAAATATAACTAAAACTGAATGTGATCATCGAGAGAGGAGGAAGCGTAGGACATATCTACTTTACAGCAGTATTACCATTGGGGTGATAGCAGTTGTTCAGTTCTCGGGTTATCTTTATTTGTCTTTCTTCTACAAACCAGTTGTGTTCGTCATAAACCGATATTGACAATTATGCTTTCTAGCAATATGACATTTGTACAATCATCATGCATAAAAAAAACAAATTTTAATTATTGTTTGTGTTTTTTCTCTGTAAATAATTATAAGTAATCTCAAGCATTTGCTTCTCCTCAGTTGAACATTTAAAAAAATGTTAAGAAAATTGGTTACGATAGATTATCGACAACAAAGCATACACATTTTGATACATGTATTATTGTCCACCTCTGGGATAATTTGAGATGACGTTTTTTGAGAAATAAGACTATAGCTTGGAGAAAATAACACTACTTCGGGGTGGTGGTGAATGAAAAAACGCATTTTCATACTCGTTTTCCGTTATATGAATGAATTAAAGATACATAGCTAGGAAGTGTTCCCTTTACAATTAGCAAGCACACATCCTGAAAGCCACGGGTCCTTCTGATGAGACCTTAGAAACCCAGGTTACAGGAGACGTTAGCACGAAAAATTAACCTCATTCATAAGCGGATCTGCATGTAGAAGAATATGTGTCAAAATCTGAAACTTTTCATACGTTTACATAGTTACTGTATATACTTGAGAATAAGATGGTCCGCTTATAATGCGGTTGTGATTTTTGCAGTTATTTTAGAGGGATTTGCCATGGACCCTCCTATAAGTCGGTACAACTTTTTGTCAGTATTGGTTGACGATTTTAAATCAATGTTGTGATGTTTTAGGGGGGTTTCAAATACTGTAGAAGTACTTTTTTTCCGCGTGGTATTAATTTACGCTATGTAGGCGGTCACAATTTTTCCGCGGAAATTTTTCCAAGCGTACTTACTGTAAATGTAAGGCATTTAGTGACAATCTAGAAAATCTGCGTAATTTTTTACCCACGAATTAAACAGAAATCGAGATTCCGCGGAATTATGACCCCGTGGAAAATAGTACGTTTACAGTAATATTTTTAAAAAGTGACGTCGATGTTTATTTCCAAATCATTAGAAATAAGTAATGCATACTGAGGATGAAAATAAAGCTATAAAAAGACATGTAGACTTGTACTTAATGCGTAATCTTTTAAAACTATCTTTAAATCGTCGTCCAGAAAAAATACCATATATTCAATGACTCGCCTATAAGTAGGATAATGTCAGTTTTGGACCTCAGATGTGAGACAAAGGATACCTTATTTATATTTATCCATATCTGATACCATCATTCATGTTTGGTGTTCTATCGATTTACGAATGTTATCATTATCGACAGCGATATAAATACAATATACAACATGTAACGACTAACTAATCTATCTGTTATCATATGTCAATTTAGTCTCTGATATTTTTATATTTGGGAGGAAGTGACCAATTCCTAATGATTTATAGGAAGTCGATACATGTATATTATGTAACATACACTATAACGTAAAATAGGACTATTAAACTGTATATTCTACTAAAGTGTTGTCTTCTTTAATTTTTCAGAAGTATCCATGATCATGATGTTGAGGTCAAATTCTCAAGAAATGAAATTTGATAAATATAAATCAATGACATTTTTATCTTAAATATCACACAATCTTTCATTGGTCTGTAGAATTGAACATGTCTCAAATGGATTGACTCCTTTCTAGAATTTATGCCAAATTATACTCATCAGAAATATTTTACCTTTTAAAGTAGCAAATGGAATCGCTTTGGCTAACTATTCCTAACCATGGTTATGGAACGCCGTCACTGCCTTATAACAGAATACAACAGTTGCATTGCGTCAACCTTCCATTACATTATGTCAACACTTTATGACATTTACTCACACTACTATTGCATTGTGTCAACCTTACATTACATTATGTCAACTCTTTATGACATTAACGCACAATGCTATTGCATTATGTCAACCTTTCATTACATTATGTCAACTCTTTATGACATTAACCCACAATGCTATTGCATTATGTCAACCTTCCATTACATTATGTCAACTCTTTATGACATTAACCCACAATGCTATTGCATTATGTCAACCTTCCATTACATTATGTCAACTCTTTATGACATTAACCCACAATGCTATTGCATTATGTCAACCTTCCATTATATTATGTCAACTCTTTATGACATTAGTCCACACTACTATTGCATTGTGTCAACCTTTCATTACATTATGTCAAATCTTTATGACAATTACACACAAAACTATTGCGTTATGTCAACTTTCAATTACATTATGTTTAGTCTTTATGGCATTAACTCGCACTTTAATTACATTGCGCCAATCTTCCACTGCATTATATCAGCTCTTTATGACATCAAGTCAAAACAATTTTACGTGGTGTAAAAATGTTTTTATATATTTTCAACTCATTATTACATTATGTGCACTCTCTACTATTTGGTCTAAGTAGTTCATTACATGATGTGAATTTATTTTTAACTCAATATGAAGTCGCTATAATACGATGTCAGAATTTATTACATGATCTGAAAAAATTGTCACATGTGGTCAATTCTTTTACTACTTTATGCTTTCAATATGCTACATGACGACGTGAATCAATTTCATGATGTGAATTTGCCCTTACTTTTTGACAAATCGTTATTACATTATGTCATTGTGTCTTTACAGTGTGTCAAAAATGCCAAGCCTCTTGTCAGCATACATGTATCTTAGGCTATTCATCTCATATCAGATGTGGAAAGCTCATATCATACTGTGCGCACTCTTCTACATTATGTCGATTCACTATTACGTTATGCGAACACGGGTATCCTCGGCCTTTATATGAGCATAACGTATTTTCCGCATTCCGAAAGCACTAAAAATGGCGGGAGAGAAAACTGTCATAAAATAAATTCTCAGCGATTAAATGATATAAAAACTTTAAGCGAAAAATGATTTACAACCTTGAAATGTGCAAAGCCTTAACACTGCGACTGTGAATTAACGTCACGCGTCGAAATTCAATGGCGTTTACTTTTATCTGATAATTAAATAAATCAAATATGAGTCGTGCAGCATTTTTTTTCTTTTGAATTGCTTTTTTTTTAAATAAAAATCTTAAACTTCTGATCTTACTCAGAACACTGTCATAAGTTTTTTTTTTAGTCGGTCTTTAACTCTCTTTTTTTAAAGTGTAAACACATCGATCGAATAACACACGTGCACTGGCGGCTTGGGGAAGGGGGGGGGGGTCAGAAATCCCGCCCTACCATATTTAGTCACCAAAATATATATAAATTTAATAAATGTATTAGTTTTACATTGTAGGACATTGCATTACTTTCACATTAAGTTTAGCTGAATTATATTGAATTTTTTTTTCTATTAAACTATAAAGCCTGCCGGAGAGTTTTTTTTGCTTTCCCCCTTTGGTCACCAACTGTATACCGTCCCCCTTCTTTTTTCAAGATACCCATATGCGCCACAAATATGTGCCCATGCATGCTTATTAAGGCATATTCAACTGATTTAGATGAGGGACTGGTAGATTTTTATAACAGAATTCTGGTCTTGGAATGGTTGAAAAAATTACAGTAACTAATTCCGTGACATAGCATTTATTTGAAAGAGGATGTCAGCCAGGAAAAAAAAAATTATTTACCCGAAAAAACTTGACAAGCCAAAAAAATTTGTCCAAGCCCGAAAATCCTATTTCGGAGAGGGGGGTCCGACTTTGATTGGTCATATATTTTTTTCAGTTATACTACATTACCCCTAGTGGACTATACTTCAACAATAAGTGGGGGTGGGGGCTGTACTTTCAATGAACATTACATTTTCTAAAATAAGGTTATGTCTGGGAAAAGAGGGGGGCTGATATTATATGTCTATAATTATTCGTCCTACTCAATCGCCCCCCTTTGATAAAACAAGAATATAAGCAGTCCTGTTTGATTCATTTTTTCGTAATTTATAATGACCTTGTCAGCAAATACAATCTTGCAAAAAGTCAAATGTTGACTGACATTTTTTATACCTATTGTTAGACCACTAACTAATTATTATTTACATTAATTTTCCGTTACTTCACGATCTTGACGGGAGCAAACACGACGGTGTGACCGGCCGGCATGGGATTATCACTTCTTCATGGTATTTGATCCAGTCTCAGCTGATGTTCCGTGTTTTCTCTGCTTCAAAATTTGACTTGTTTAATTGCCTTTTAAGCTTGAGTTTTCACCATATATTTCATGTAGTAATACTCCTCTATCACCTACTGGTCTTATGTTTTCCAACTTATTTGCTACACAAAAACTTGTTCTTATATGTAGTATGATCAATTTATAAGTCGAGGCAGGCTACTCAGTGATACATGTATTTAATGTTACAGAAATTTTAACTGCCTCGTCAAAAATTAGAATTTTGTAATGATTTGATCTTTATTATGACCTTGTAAGAAAACATGACCTACTTATTTTGAATGACTTGTTTTTACCATGTGATAGCTTTTTATAATTAATTGACTTCGGGTAGTTCTGTGCACATGATCAATTAATACGTCAGTGGATTTTACTAGTTCACAGAAAATGCTTAATGTTCAATACGTGTAGAACCTTACATGTAATATACACCTTACATATAATAAAGTACAGGATAAATTTACATGTTTACATGTTGGATTAAAATGGTTAATAAAATTTAGCACAGTTTTATTTTTTCACAATTTTTTTTTTATTTTAAGATTTTTTGGAATATCTTATATATACTTTTTTGTTACATTTTTTGTTACGAATATAATTAAGATTCTCATTTTTAGTAAAAATTCATGCAACAAAAATCAATTATTCGTCGCTGGTGTACAAATATTATATCATATTTCAGTCCTGCCCCCCCCCCCCCCCATGCAGGACAAATTTGTAGACATGTGTTTATGTTCACGTGTAATTTAATTATGTTTGACCCTGTATGATCTTTGCAGGATATCTTGCACGTAAACTGAACTGTTATATCTTTATCTTTTTTAACCTTAACATAAATAATACTAGAACCAAAATGAACTTGATAATACATCGCTATACAATATTGCAGTATTAAATTTCATTTTTACA